AGCACATAAAATATGCTCAAATCATTAGAGAATGCATATAAAAACCATAACTATTAGTATACCTAATGTCAAAAAAACTGGGCGGGTATGGTGGCTCATACCTGTAATCCTAGCACTTTGGGAGACCGACATGGGAGGAGCACTTGAGGCCAGGCGTTCAAGACCCCATCTCTAGTTAAATGTTATAGAAATGAATTTTTTTTAATTTAAAAATAAATAAATAAACTGATACCACCAAGTGCGAACTGAAACTTTCATACTGATGGGAATGTAAAATGATACAGACACTTTGAAAAACAGTTTAGCAGTTTCTTAAAATGTCAAACATATGCTTACCATATATCCCAGCAATCCAACTCTAAGTATTTACTATAGATAAAGGAAAACGCAAAAAGTTGCATGTGAATGTTTATAGCAGCTTTACTTGTAATTGTCCAAAACTGCAAAGAACCTAAACAGCCTTCAACTGGGGAATAAACAGTAGTAAATCCACACAATGGAGTGATTTAGAAATAAGAACTATTGATACAGTGAGGAACATGGATGAATCTCAAATGTATTACTCATAGCAAAAGAATTCGCTCTCTAAATGCTACATACCGTATAATTTCACTTATATAACATTCTTCAAAAGACAAAAATATATGGCCAGACACTGGCTCACGCCTCTAATCCCAGCACTTCGGGAGGCCGAGTTGAGTAGATCACTTGAGGTCAGGACTTTGAGACCAGCCTGGTCAACGTGGTGAAACTCCACCTCTACTAAAAATACAACAATTAGCCAGACGTGGTGGTGGGGACATGTAGTCCCAGCTGCTCAGGAGCCTGTGGCAGGAGGATCACCTGAATCCGGGAGGTGGAGGTTGCAGTGAGCTGAGATCACGCCACTGTACAGCTTGGGTAACAGAGCGAGACTCTGTCTCAAAATAAATAAATAAATAAAAGGACAAAAATATAAGAACAAAGAAAAAGGCCGGGTATGCTGGCTCACACTTATAATCTCAGCACTTTGGGAGGCTGAGGTGGGTGGATCACAAGGTCAAGAGTTCGAGACCAGCCTGGCTAACACGGTGAAACTCTGTCTCTACTAAACATACAAAAATCAGCTGGGCATGGTAGCAGGCACCTGTAATCCCAGCTACTCAGGAGGCTGAGGCAGAAGAATCGCTTGAACTTGGGAGATAAAGGTTGCAGTGAGCTGAGATCATGCCACTGCACTCCAGCCTGGGGTGACAGAGCTAGACTCCGTCTCAAAAAAAAAAAAAAAGAAAGAACAAAGGAAAAAACAGTGATTGCCAGGGGTTGGGTGTAGGGGACAGGTTTTGTCTGTAAAGTAGCAGGAATGAATTCGGTTTAATGGACTCACAGTTCCACATGGCTGGGGAGGCCTCACAATCATGGCAGAATCAGGGAAGGGCTAAGAGGACTGTTCTGAACCTTGGTTGCATTGGTGATTACACAACTCTACACATTTATCAAAGCTTTATAGAACTGTATACCAGAGTGAATTTTACTGTAATGTAAATGTTTGTAATTTTTAAAACAAGAAGGCATAAAATAAGCCTGCTTATTGTATGATTCTATTGATATGACATTCATGCTAAAGCAAAACTATAGGGGCAGAAAATGAATCAGTGGTTGGCAGAATCTGAGGGTTAAGGGTAGGAGTTGATGACAAAAGGGCCCGGAGACTTTTGGGGGGTGAGGCAACTATATTTCTATTGTGGTGGTGGGTCACTCCTGTATTATGTTTGTACAAACTCATGTAAATAAACCTATAAAAAGTGAACTTTACTATATGTAAATTATACCCTAATTGTTTTGAAAAATGAAGAGAAAAAGTTAAACTGCTTCTAAAAAAAAAAAAAACTGAGATATGCTGTAGGTAGAGAATCTGCGTCCCATAATCTTTTTTTCTCTCTCTTATTTTTTCCCCTGAGACAGTCTCCCTCTGTTGCCCAGGCTGGAGTGCAGTGGCACAATCTCGGCTAAATGAAGCCTCTACCTCCCAGGCTCAAGAGATCCTCCTGCCTCAGCCCCAGACAGCTGAAACTACAGGCATGAGCCACGATGCCCACCTAATTTTTGTATTTTTTTGGTAAAGACGAGGTTTCACCATATCGCTTAGGCTGGTTTTGAACTCCTGACCTCAAGTTATCTGCCTGCCTCGGCCTCCCAAAGTGCTGGGATTACAGGTGAGAGCCACCTGCAGTGCCAAACTCTTACCTACATGACTACTTTAGTTCTGCTTGATTTTGGCCAAAGTATGTTCCCATGCTGTTTCTTACCCATTTAGATACTTCTATTTCTAATATTTACCTCCTAGAACTTCTCCACTACAGATGAGGACACCTCCTGATGAACCCTAAGTTGAAAATTACAATGGGTTTATCAAAAAGTAGCCCCATCATAAGTAGAGGTGCATTCTGAATGTATACTGCTTTTCCACCAAAAATTCTATATCAAACCACCAAAAGTTGAGGACTGTCTGTATTTTAAATGCTAAATTATAAAATGCTGTATGGTCACAAAATGGCCTTAGCTGTCCTGGTATGGAATTTTTCAATATGACACTATTATGTACCAGAAGAGTTCAGTGAGACAGTGTGAAATAAGTTGTAGCCTATTCAAAAGGACAGAGTGTAGTTTTAGCAAGACACTAAAAACTAATTGTTTAAGAAACTAAAGAGTTTTTTTAAACCAAAAAACAGAAAATGCATTGAAAGGACTTCAAAACAGAGACTGGCACAAAGTAGGGGCTTAATCAATGTTTCTCTGTTAAGGAGGCGGTACGATGTAGAGGAAAGGGCCTGCACAGGGTTTTAATCACGCTTGGGTTCCCATCCTAGCATCACTGCTTAATACACCCTCTTGGGTCTGGCCATCCTGCCAACTTTTTTTTTTCTAGATGGAGTCTCACCCAGGTTATAGTGCAGTGGCGTGATCTCGGCTCACTGCAACCTCCACCTCCTGAGTTCAAGTGATTCAAGTGATTCTCCTGCCTCAGCCTCCTGCATAACTGGGATCACAGGTATGCCACCACACCTAGCTAATTTTTTATATTTTTAGTAGAGATGAGGTTTCACCATGTTGGCCAGGCTGGTCTCAAACTCCTGATCTCAGGTGATCTGCTCACCTCAGCCTCCGAAAGTGCAGGGATTACAGGCATGAGCCACCATGCCCGGCCAACGTTCTGAAATTACTTCTTTTCTTCCTATGGGGAGACGAATCCCTTACTAGCAGAGCTATACTGAGGGTTCGAGGTGGTAATGGGTCTCCAGGGCTTGGTGCAGTCTGTACTCAACAAGTACATAATTCTCTCCTTTGGTGGCCCCTGAATACAAGAGTGGTCTGTACTTCCCTGCTTGAACAGCCCACAGCCAATGGCGCTCCAGTCCTTGTCACATGGTTCCACTCTTAGGATGTAAATTAGGAGGTGCCAGCTTGAGAGGCAGAGGCAAAGGCAAGGTTAAGATGCAGCTGTGGGGCTGGGTGCAGTGACTCACGCCTATAATCCCAGCACTTTGGGAGGCTGAGGCAGGTGGATCACCCGAGGCCAAGAGTTTGAGACCACCCTGGCCAACATGGTGAAACATTATCTCGACTAAAAATACAAAACTTAGCCAGGCATGGTGGCGGGCACCTGTCATCCCAGCTACTTAGGAGGCTGAGGCAGGAGAATCACTTTGAACCCAGGAGACAGGTTGCAGTGAGCCACGATCATGCCATTGCACTCCAGCCTGGGCAACAGAGCCAAAAAAAAAAAGAGGTGCAGCTGTGGGTCAAAGGATGGTGTGGAAGTTTGGGGTAGATGTCCAAGACTGCAGTAATGGTATGCTTACCCACTTCAAATGTGTCGACTCAAGTAGATTGCTAGGAACTGAAGTCGGGGGCAAAAACCCCAAAACACCCTGGCAAAGTCAGAAGATTCTGTTCAGTTGCAATCATCTACCCCAGCCCCTCTCTGAGGGCCTCTGGCACTGCTTGGGCTCACTGCCCTTGTCTGATGAGGTAGGATCTCCTGGAGGAGATAGCTAATTATACTTTAATGCGATGACTTACAGACACTGGAAAAGGAGTTGGCTGCTATACTCCCATCTATAGCAGCTATCTCAAGGATATAGTCTGTGAATAAATGGTACCAGAACCCTCTTGAGGTTCATGGAATTCAAATGTTGGTGCAATAGGAGACATGGTCACACGAGGGCAGGGTCTGGCCGGAGTACTTTAGTTAAAGGGATTCCTCCAGGGCCGGGCGCGGTGGCTCACGCCTGTAATCCCAGCACTTTGGGAGGCCAAGGCGGGTGGATCACGAGGTCAAGAGATAGAGACCATCCTGGTCAACATGGTGAAACCCCATCTCTACTAAAAACGCAAAAAATTAGCTGGGCATGGTGGCACGTGCCTGTAATCCCAGCTACTCAGGAGGCTGAGGCAGGAGAATTGCCTGAACCGAGGAGGTGGAGGTAGCGGTGAGCCGAGATCATGCCATTGCACTCCAGCCTGGGTAACAAGAGTGAAACTCTGTCTCAAAAAAAAAAGGGGGGGGATTCCTCCAATTCACAATCTGCCCGGAAACGCCCCAACATGGGGTTTGCCCCTAAAGCAGGTACCTTGTTTTCTCTTCGTGCAAACCACACTCAGCACAAGCCAGGCTTGTTTGTTCTCTTCTTCCCTCTGCACTATCCCTAGACCCTTCCAGAGACACAGGAGGCTCATTACTTTCTCCTTCCTCTCTCTGCCACCCACATGAAGACCTATGGACTTGGAAGGAAGATAGACGGCCCAAAGCCCACTACAGGAATGTCTTGCCACTGAAGTCTCCTGTGGGGTGGTAAAGAAATCATCACCCTCCCCCAGGGACCCCCAGGTCCTCCAGCAGCCTAAGCTCTAGTGGCATATTCACCTGTCTAAGAGAGTTTTGTGGGAGGTCAGCCCTCAACCAGCCCAATCTATAAGGTGGGACCCCGAGGTGAGGGATAAATTGTTAGCACCTGAGCTCTGCTGAGATTTCTTTTATTTCTCTTATAAAACAGTAGGGGTTAAATAGAGGGTATTGGATTTGGCAGCTGCAGTCCCCTTGGGACTCTTCAGGGAGAACCAAACTATCTCATTGGTATTCCCCCCATACCACTGGAACTGGTGCTTGGAGCGGAAGGGAAGTGAGATCAGTCGATTAGTCACCAACACTGTCATCACCACTGGCAGAGAGGTCGAGAGCAGACATCATGGAATCAGACAGCTTGCTGGCAATTTTATCTGCAAATAGAGAAATATAAGCAATCTCTTGGTGGCTGACTTGCTACCAGGAGGCCTGCTGACGCTGGCCTACATCTACCTTGGTCTGCACTAATCTCCTCAACTGGCTCACTTACCCGCAAACACTAAACAAAACTGGCACCATGTTGGAAGCCACTGCTCAGCTTCACACACAGACAATCCACTTTTCTATCTGTAAAATGGATTAGCCCAACATAGCTTCTATTTCAGGGTTTCGGCCTCACTGGGCTCCAAGTACTTTTTTCCAAATACCAAAGCAGTAATCTTCTTTTACTGTGTCAAACTTAGCGCTCTACCATTACCCTCAAAACAAAGCTCTCACAGCAAAGACCAGCATGGCCGTAGGGGCTCTGAGCCTGAATGTTCACCACGCACAACTCCCATCCTCTAGACACAGTTGTTCCTCAGGATGCCCCTCAGACTTCACCTCCTCCAGGAGGCCTTCTCTGATCACCGCTATCCAACCACCATCCCCAGGTTCAGTTAGGTTCCCTCACTGTGCTTGCTGGGTCTTCAAAGTGATTACTGTGTGCTTGTGCCGCCAAGGTCTGTTTTCTCGTCTCCTCCCAACTCCTTAGTAAGACTAGGAGTTCAAGGACAATTCATCTGAATTCCCAGGGCTCAGTGTGAAGCCAGGCCAAGAGTGAATGTCTGATTGTGTATGTTTGGTTCCAGAACACAATCTAGTTCAAATAGGGCTGATGGGTCAATCAACCCTAAGTCTGTATTTTGGCTCCATCAACTACTAGTTGTCTTACCTTCGATGTGTCACTTAATGTCTCTGGACCTCAGTTTTCTCACTTATCAAATGAGGGTAAAACTTTTGCAATGAGTTAGTAAAAAATAAGCACAGCATGGAAACCCGAATGGGCCAGCCAAACAATGGACCACCATTAAAACGAGGGAAAGTAGTTCTTTTGTGTATTGATGTAGACATATCCCTAAGATATACTGAGTGGAAAAATGATAGGGCAAAGCCATGTGTCCAGTAGATTGGCATTTGAGTAGAAAAAGAGAACAAAGAATATATAGATATTTGCCTGTGTACCTATCTCAGGAAAGACACAAGAAACTAACTGGTTGACTAGGGGTTGGTCTAGGTGACTAGGGGATGCGAGAGATTTTACTGTATATCCTCTTGTACCTTTAGGATTTTGAGTATACTGCCTATTGATGAAGCAAAAATTATACATACCCTGCAAGCTACCTAACACATAGAGAGTACCTGATAAATAAATTCTGGTTATTTGATACACAGACTAGGCAGGCCAGCGGTTCTCCCAGTGTAATCCCCAGAGAAATAGCATCAGCTGGGAACCTGTTAGAAATACAAATCCTAATAGGCACCAAAGAAGACATACTAATTAGAAACTATGAGTGAAGGGTCCAAAAATCTGTGTGTTAACAAACCCTCCAGGGAATCCTGTTGCCAGCTGAAGTTTGAGAACCACTGTGCTAGTAGTTGAGCCTCCTAGCTCATTCCTGCCCCCAACCCTAGACTGGAGCTGGACACAGAAAGATACTCATTCAGGAGCCCCAGTCAAGATCTCAGGTGGGGCTGGCAGTGGTGGCTCACATCTGTAATCATAGCACTTTGGGAGGCCAAGGCAGGTGGATCACCTGAACTCAGGAGTTCAAGACCAGCTTGGCCAACATGGTGAAACCCTGGCTCTACTAAAAATACAAAAATTAGCCAGGAGAGGTAGCAGGTGCCTGTGATCCCACCTACTCAGGAGACTGAGTCAGGAGAATCACTTGAACCCGACAGGCAGAGAGAAGATCCCAGGTAGGGATGGTCAGGGGCTCCCACCTGCACGTTTCTGCATCTTCTTCTTATTCTTCAGAGCGGATGCCAGAGCCTGGCCCTGTTGCAGGGGATCCGTCTCCATGATCCTCTGCAGCACTGGGCGGCGGTCCACTGAGCAGACATCCACCATATTGTTGTTCTTAGGGTGGTGGTTCACATTGCGTTTAGCCCACCCCATCTGATGACGGTTCGGATTGGTGCAATACCCAGTGAGATCTCCAATCTAGGGAGAGAGAGAAAACATAATAATGAGGTCTTGACCCCAAGAAAACCTCCAAAGACTTCTGCAGAAAAGGCAGGAACACAGGCTTCAGTAAGAACAGGAGCCTGGAACCATGTAGAACTAGGCTCCAATTCTGGCTCCACAACACTCAAGCAGGTGCTTAATTAACTCTCAGCCTCAGTTTCCTCATCTGTCAAATTAAGGGTAGATAAGGGGTAGTTTGTATGGCTTTTACAAGAACATAAAGAAAAGGCAGAGTTGCTTGATCAATGACAATTGGTATTATAATGATTCACTGATTAAGTGACCCTTTAAGGTCCTACTCAATTAAAAAACACTTTTCCAGGCCAGACACAGTGACTCATGCCTGTAATCCCAGCACTTTGGGAAGCTGAGGCAGGCAGATCACGTGAGGACAAGAGTTTGAGACCAGCCTAGCCAAGATGCTGAAACCCCATCTCTACTAAACACACAAAATTAGCTGGGCGCAGTGGCAGACGGCTGTAATCCCAGCTACTCAGGAGGCTGAGGAGGAGAATCACTTGAACCTGAGGGTGGAGGTTGCAGTGAGTCGAGATTGTGCCACTGCACTCCAGCCTGGGCAACAGAGCAAGATTCCATCTCAAAATAAAAAATGATACAGGAAAATATACAGTTTATATGCAAATAACATGCCATTTTATATAAGGGACTGGAGTGTTGGCAATTTTGATATTTTCAGGCTGTCTTGGAACCAATACCTCACGGAGACCAAGGGACAACTGTAATTTACTATGTCATATTCATCTAACACACACATCCACGGTGTCCCTGAGTCTTAGCCATAGGCTCAGGAATACACGCATTTGTGGGACATTTGCCTCCTCCTAAACAGTCACTGTGTCACATGCAAACTCTGCTGTGAAAACATACACATACAAAGACCCCTGCACCCTCCCTTTCAGGGTCACACAGGCAGGTGGAGGTTGCAGTGAGCTGAGATCGTGCCACTGCACTCCAGCCTGGGTGACAGAGTGAGACTCTGTCTCAAAAAAAAAAAGAAATTAGCTAGCAGGTTGGGCGCAGTGGCCCACGCCTGTAATCCTAGCACTTTGGAAGGCTGAGGTAGGCGGATCACTTGAGGTCAGAAGTTCGAGACCAGCCTTGCCAACATGGTGAAACCCGATCTCTACTAAAAATACAAAAATTAGCTGGGCGTCATCAGGGGCACCTGTACTAGCTACTTGGGAGGCTGAGGTATGAAAATCACTTGAACCCAGGAGGTGCAGGTTGCAGTGAGCCAAGATCACACCACTGCATTCTAGCCTGGGCGACAGAGCAAGACCCTGTCTTTAAAAAAAAAATAAATTTAGCTGGGCATGGTAGCTTGCATCTGTAATCCCAGGCACTTGGGAGGCTGAGGTAGGGGGATTGCTTTAGTCCAGGAGGCAGAGGCTGCAGTAAGCCAAGATCACACCACTACACTCCAGCCTAGGTGCCAGAGCAAGACCCTGTCATAAAAAAAAAAAAAAAATTCTGACACTTACTTTGTGTCCAGCTCTGTGTAGAGCAATGCTGAAGACAGAGAAGTGAGTGACACACAGTTCCATCCTTTTTTTTTTTTTTTTGAAACAGACTCTCACTCTGTCACCCAGGCTGGAGTGCAGTTGTGTGATCTTGGCTCACTGCAGCCTCCGCCTCCCGGGTTCAAGCGATTCTCCTGCCTCAGCCTCTCAAGTAGCTGGGATTACAGGCACACATCACCAGACCTGGCTAATTTTTTGTATTTTTAGTAGAGATGGTGTTTCAGCATGTTGGTCAGGCTGGTCTCAAACTCCTGACCTCAGGTGATCCACCCACCTTGGCCTCCCAAAGTGCTGGAATTACAGGTGTGAGCCACCACACCCGGCCTCAGTTCCATCTTCAGAAAATAACCTGGCTAAAGAAGATAGAAAGATTTTTTTATTTTTTGAGACAGAGTCTCGCTCTGTTGCCCACGCTGGAATGGTGCACTGGTGCAACCTTGGCTCACTGCAACCTCCACCTCTCAGCTTCAAGTGATTCTCCTGCCTCAGCCTCCTGAGTAGCTGGGATTATAGGCGCACACCACCACATCTGGCTAATTTTTGCATTTTTAGTACAGACAGGGTTTTACCAAGTTGGGGAAAGTGGTCTTGAACTCCTGGCCTCATGATCCGTCCATCTCGGCCTCCCAAAGTGCTGGTGTTACAGGCGTGAGCCACCGTACCCAGCTGAAGATACAAAGATCTATACCACAAATCGGAGTATGGTAACTGCCCATTAGAAACATGAAGGATGAGAAATGCCAGATATAGTATGCACCAAAAGTTAAATTTAAAAATTAAAAAAAAAAAGAAAGAAACATGAAGGAGGAGTGACTGAGAGGAAAGGGATGATAGTGGTGGTCAACACAGTACTGATGGGGAGGGGTCATTCCTGATTGAACACTGGAAAAACATAGAGCACACCTGAGTACCAAAAATGGTGTCTGTTTCTGGCCAGGTGCAGTGGTTCACGCCTGTAATCTAAACACTTTGAAAGGCGGGGAAGGACAGATTACTTGAGGTCAGGGGTTCGAGACCACGCTGGCCAACATGGCTGGGCCCTGGACCATACACTGCTTGACCCCATTGCCCAGAGAACTGCTCAGCCTTCAAGACATGGTTTAATGGGGTTTGGCTATGTCCCCACCCAAAAATCTCATCTGAAATTGTAAACCCCATAATTCCTATATGTCAAGGGAGAGACCAAGTGGAGATAATTAAATCATGGGGGTGGTTTCCCCCATGCTCTTATCATGATAGTGAGTTCTCATGAGATCTGATAGCTTTGTAAGTGTTTGGTAGTTCCTCCTGTATTCATTCTCCTTCCTCCCACCTTTTGAAGAAGATGCCTTGCATCCCCTTCACCTTCTGCCATGATTGTAAGATTCCTGAGGCCTCCCCAGCTGTGCTGAACTGTGAGTAAATTAAACCTCTTTCCTTCATAAATTACCAGTCTTGGGCAGTTCTTTACAGCAGTATGCAAAGGGACTGATATATGGCTCGAGCAAGACTTCCTTGACCCACAGGTAGTACAGGTTAGGGTCCCTGGATCCATGCTGTCCCAACCTCGACCCGTATCCAGACCCTGTGAGTCTCCTATCACAGTGTGGATGTCTGTGTCTGTAACCCACCAAAATATGAACTTCTGAAGAGCAGAGATGGGAGATGGACTGGCAGAAGAAGAGGCTGAAAAAACCTCAAGGAGCCCTGCAGATGTTGAATAGAAGGCTGCAGGCATATGGACTTGATCCTATAGGTGCAGAGGAGCCATGAAACAAGTTTAAGGGGGGGAGGTGACATGGTCAGACTGGGCCATTAGAAACCATGAGACATATGTCTAAGTGAATGAGGACTGGAAGGTTAGTTTAGGGTTATGGGAATGGTAGAGATGAAAAGAAGATGACAGCTTGTCAAAAGATTTAGGAGGAAGAAGACAGGTCTTGGTGACTAAGTATAAGATCCCAGGCCAGGCTCGGTGGCTCAAGCCTGTAATCCCAGCACTTTGGGAGGCTGAGGCAGGCAAATCACCTGAGGTCAGGAGTTCGAGACCAGCCTGGCCAACATGGCAAAACCCCATCTCTACTAAAAATACAAAAATTAGCCAGCGTGGTGGCACATGCCTGTAATCTCAGCTTCTTGGGAGGCTGAGGCAGGAGAATCACTTGAACCTGGGAGACAGAGGTTGCAGTGACCCGAGATTGCACCACTGCACTGCAGCCTGGGTGACAGAGTAAGACTCCGTTGGCTCACGCCTGTAATCCTAGCACTTTGGGAGGCCAAGGCAGGTGGATCACAAGAGGTCAGGAGTTCTAGACCATCCTGGCCAACATGGTAAAACCCCAATAAATTAGCTAGGCATGGTTGCGTGCACCTGTAATCCCGGCTACTCGGGAGTCTGAGGCAGGAGAATCACTTGAACCTGGGAGGTAGAGTGGAGTGAGCCAAGATCGTGCCCTTGCACTCCAGCCTGGGCAACAGGGTGAAATTCTGTCTCAAACAACAATAACAAAAAAAGATCCTGGTACTAGTTAGGGAGAAGACTCATTTACAAGTTGGACAACTGGGTGGTTAGATAGTGATACCTGTTCTTTTTTTTTTTGCTCTCTCGCTAGCTGCCAGGCTAGAGTGCAGTGGCATGATGTCGGCTCACTGCAACCTCCACCTCCCGGGTTCAAGCAATTCTCCTGCCTCAGCCTCCCAAGTAGCTGGGACTAGAGGCGTGCACCACCACGCCTAGCTAATTTTTGTATTTTAGTAGAGAAGGGGTTTCACCATGTTGGCCAGGATGGTCTCGATCTCTTGACCATGTGATCCGCCCACCTCAGCCTCCCAAAGTGCTGGGATTACAGTCGTGAGCCACCACGCCCAGCCAGTAAAGACCTGTTCTATGGGCTAGAACCAGGGCTGGGAAAGCTGTCTTAGAGAGCATGCCTGCTTCCTTGACCTGTCATTGCTTGGCAAAGGACGCTCTACTGTAGACCAGGCATCCAGAAGCCCACAGGGAGTGAATGAACCTCCCGCATCTCACAACATGGGAATCAAGTAAAAGGGACCAACCACTTCCCAGAACCCTGGGGAGAGAAGAGGGTTGCCATGAACAAAGAGGACAGGTACCTTATACACGGTGGTTTTATTTTCAATGGCATCTGCTATTTTCATCATCGGAGAATGGAGCAACTTGATCTCCATTTCACGTGGGTCCGTGTCACCCAACAGCTCATCAGATTCTCCAGTGGCCAAGCCTTTAACACAACCAACACCGGTGTCAGGGCCCTGGCTTCCTCCTGCTGCCAGCCCCCTGGTTAGGCCTCAGTGAAAAGGAAACGAGGATGCTTCCCAGTAGAGTCAGATGCAAGAACTTTTTCAATTCTGCTGAGAGGCCACATGACCAAGAATTAAAAGCATGGGTTTTGCAATAGGACATTCACTTGCTGGGAGATAGACTCAGAGCTGTAGCTTCCTCATTCGGAAAATGGGAATTCCACAAGCCCTAGTCACACTGAGCTGCTGCTGTGAGCCATGGGAGATGTCTGTAATGCTCCGGGCCCAAGAAGCTGCTCTGTGAATGGCAGGCACTGGGATTCCTTCCCCAGGACCAGGACTTTCCCCTCCTCTCTGGCCCCTTGCCTGAAGCTGGCCTTCACTGCAAACCTCAGATGTGCCCACTGCCCTGTGCCTCACTACCCTCGTGCCTGCTTCTGTAATTTTGCCCCTATTCCCTACCCTGGGCCTTCTAATCCCTACTCACCCTTCAAGATCCAGCACTAGGGTCAACTCCTCCAGGAAGCCCTCACCACTAACCTGTCCCCCTCTGTCTCCTCAATTTCTCGGACCTCAATCTTTTGCCAAAACGCATTCTCAGTGATGGAGCACCTCTTGCCCTTACGTCCAGCCAGGGTCAAGCATCATCATAAGAACATAAGCTCAAACCCCTCTCAACTGCTCTACTTAACAGAGGAGGAAACTAAGGCGAGGTGCAATGGCTCATGCCTGTAATCCCAGCACTTTGGGAGGCCAAGGCAGGTGGACTGCTTCAGGTCTGGAATTCGAGACCAGCATGGCCAACATGGCAAAACCCCATCTCTACTAAAAATAAGAAAATAAGCCAAGCATGATGCACACCTGTAGTCCCAGCTACTCAGGCAGCTGAGGCACGAGAATCACTTGAACCCAGGAGGCAGAGATTGCAGTAAGCCCACATCATACCACTGTATTCCAGCCTGGGCAACAAAGCAAGACTCTGCCTCAAAAAAAAAAAAAAAAAAAAAAGAGGCCAGACGCAGGGCTCATGCCTGTAATCCCCGCACTTTGGGAGGCCAAGGCAGGTGGATCACGAGGTCAGGAGTTCGAGACTAGCCTGGCCAAGATACTGAAACCCCGTCTCTACTAAAAATACAAAAAAAAAAAAAAAAAATTAGCCAGGCGTGGCGGAGGGTGCCTGTAATCCCAGCTACTCAGGAGGCTGAGGCAGAGAATTGCTTAAACCCAGGATGCAGAAGTTGCAGTGAGCCAAGATCATGCCACTTCACTCCAGCCTGGGTGACAGAGCAAGACTCTGTCTCAAAAAAAAAAAAAGAGGAAATTAAAATTCAGAAAAGGGGGCTGACTTGCCCAAACCCACATGGAATATAAACTAGAAAGCAGGCAAGTCCTTTCAATCTGGTGTGTGATACAAGGACACTAAAAGACCCAGAGAAGGAAAACTACTGGACCTCAAGAAAAAAAAAAAAGAGAGAGAGAATCTAGAAGTTAAGCTAGCCAAGGCTTCTTCAACTACCCCAGAGTGTCTACTGACAAGCCCAGAGAGCACTGGGCACCTTTCTTAGGCAGGGCAGAGAATGAAGCAGGGGGCTGGGCATGGTGCCTTACACCTGTAATCCAAGCACTTTGGAGGCCAAGGCAGGCGGATCGCCTGAGGTCGGGAGTTCAAGAACAGCCTCACCAACATGGTGAAACCCCTTCTTAAAAAAAAAAAAAAAAAAGCTAGTAACAAAGAGAATGAAGCAGGGAGCCACAAGCCAGGGCTGCAGAGAGTAATATCTGAGGAGAGCAAACATTCCCAGGAGTTTCTGAGAGTCACATCTCTGTTCCCCAGCAAATAATCATCAATAAAAGCTAACATTTACTGAGCATTTATTTACTATATGCCATGCACTGTTGTTCTAAATGTCTTTTACATATTAAATAAATCTTTATAACTACCTTATCGGGTGGATTTACTGTCCCTGTTTTACAGATGACGTCACTGAGACAAAGAAGTGAAGTAATTTGTTTAGCATCACACAGTAAAAAGGAAACAAAACTTGATGTGAATCCAGGCAGTCTATACTTTTGGACGCCCAGCTCATCGGAGCTGGAAGAGTCTTCAACAGGACAGAACTGGTTCAAAGGCCACCTCTGCTGACACCCTTTTGGCAAATGTCAGCTTTCTGTGACTTGAGTACCTTACTCACCAAAGGAGATAAGCAGGAAAATCTAGAAATGGACCTGAAATGTTTGTGAAAAAGCCTAAGGCAACATGAGAGAGTTTTTAAGAGAACGTCTCAGTCCATTCCAGGTCCTAAGAGACAGGAATGGAGCCTCCTATTTCCAGAGCACCTCAATGGGTACCACGCACTTTCTTTCGTATTTACCAGAAGCTCACCATCATCCTCTCCCTGCTCCCCCATGCCAGGGCCAGGTTAGAATTCCCCACCTTGCAGGAAAAGAAATTAGGCTTAGAGCTGGCTAAGCAACTTGCTCGAAGCCCAAGTAGGGCCAAGGAAGGGGGAGGTCAAAGGTGGGATCTGCTGTCAGGTCTATGTGGTCCCACTAGTGCAAGGCTGAGTGCACCCACCCTGCCCACACTTACATTCCATGGTGTCCTCATTGGCCTGCTCAGTATCCTCGATGTCAAAGACCTCGGTCATTTCCTTAACGATCTCAGCACTGAGATGGGCGGGCAGAGTGTGAGTAGGTGGTGGTGATATATAGAAGCTGATCTTTCCACTGCATTGGAAGACAGGGGAGATTAGTGGTGCTGTCACTGAGAGAACCAACGACCAATCTCAGAGAAACAGCAAGAGAACAAGAAAACACAGACAGTGGCTTCTGAACAAGGAGGAGTTGAGTTGATGGATAATTACTGGGCATAAAGTCTCCAGCAGAACATGACTCAGCACCTTGGCCATCCTCTGCCCTAAGACCCAGGAAGCCAGGCTGCCCCAGCAGCTGCAATGGGCACAGATGAACCCCTTTGTGGAGCCAGGTTCCCAGCAGGCCTCACCCTTACCCCTAACCCCCTCCTCACCTGACCCAGTCAGCTAGGACAGCTTTGGCCGCCTGTTCCTGACTGTATAAGCCTCCCTTCTTCTTCTTCCCCAAACGGTGGGCCACTGCCGTGAGAAAGTGCTCAGTGGTCTGGAACCCAGAGATGCCATAGTAGTTGGAAATCTGGTGAAGGCAGGAAGGAGAGAAGTCATGAGGACGAATGAAGGGGCCTTGGAGTAGGGCAGGGCATCAGCCAGGGCTCTGCTGCGGACCTCCTCCAGGTTGCAGCGCTGCAGGATGGTCTCCACCGGGGTCACAGGGTCTGCCAGCTTCTGCACGTGGACGCAGTTACGCAGGATGGTGCCCACCTCTGAGTTGGGCCCTGGGACAATGCCTGGAGCATCCAGCAGCCGGATGAACTTGTCCAGGTGGACCTCCTGCATGAATCTAGGGTGGGGAAGAAGAAAGCCTAGAGGCCCCGATCACAAAGGTGGGCCTGGGATGTGGGGGTGTAAAGGAGTGACGGGAGAGTAATTAGAGATGAAGGTGGAGAGACGTAGAGCTGGAGGGGGGATGACTGGGGCTCTACAGACTTGGGGCTGATTCTATTCTAGCCTCTGCCACTGGGGACTGAGCTGCAGGACCTTGGGCAAGCTTGACTCTCCAAGCCTTGGCTGCTTCATCCAGGCAACAGAGCTCCCATTAGTACCCCAATCTGGTATGGCTATTCAGAAGCTTTAAGCCACTAACGGGAAGCACCCATCTGGGCACCTGGCTTACATCTAGGGTGTGTCAGGAAAATGAGGACTATTGAGACTCCCATGCCTGTGGAAAGCATCAGGGGATGGTCCACAATAAGGAAAGGGACAGGGGCTGAAGGCATGGGAGTAAGGGGGGAAATGGGAGAGTCAAGGAATTGTGGAGTTGGGGAGCAAGCAGCTGCTTACTTGGTAATCCCAGGAACGGCTCCCACACTGCATGCGCGGCTGCGCTTCAGGCTATTGATCAGGCTGCTCTTCCCAACATTGGGAAGACCTGCAAAGTAGCACCAGATGGCTCAGGGCAGGAGAGGCCCTCAGGAACACTCAGGCCAGCACGTATGAGGGAGGCCCCGCCAGGGGCAGTGACCAGGCCATGAGGAAGGCAAAAAATTGAGCCTGGCCTCCTCCCTTCCCATCCCAGGCCCTGATCCAGCCCCTACAGGGCCTTTCTACCTCTCCCCTCCATTTGTAAGCATGCTAGATAGGTATAGCCGTCTCTCTAGATGTGACACCAACCTCCCACCCACAACCAGCCAGGCAGAAGTCCTCAATGCAAGGCCTTAGTGACACAATCCAACAGAAGGTGGACATCGAGAAATGTCTAAGAAACAGAGAACCACCTGTCTGGGTGTTTATCATTCCATGGATAGGGATGGAGGTCATCTCCAGATGCAAGTCCCTCTGTGCAACTGTCTACCTGAGGTATGTCTTTTTCTGTTTGGGCATCTGTCAGCCATTCTCAGCCTGTAGATGTCTTTGTTTCCCCTCACTGGGCCTCATTCTCACCATTCTCTTTCTGTACGTGCTCAATTTACATAAGTGTTCTATTCTCTCAAGCATATGCTTGTTTTAACTCGAGAAGGCTGATTGCCAAAAGAGAAAAAAAGTATATGTCTAAGTATACCTCTTGTACATGAAGTCCCTGCACACCTCTCTCCCATTCCCTCTCTCTAGCTCATTCTCATTCTAAATATCACCACACACGGAAGTCTCTGCACACCCTCCCCTCTGCTGTCTCTCTCTCGCTCTCTCTCTCTCTCTCTCTCTCTCTCTCTCTCTCGGTCATTCCCATTCTCAGTATCACCACTTTTTCCTTTTCTTGTCTCTCTCCCACTCAGTTTCTTTCTCTGTCTCACCTTTGTTATCTGGGCCGGTCACTTTGGGGATGGCCCTCTGTATGTCTCACGGTGTCTCTTCTACTGTCTGCCTGTCTGTGCCTCCTTAACCTCCTCTCTGTATGTCTATTTCTCTCTGCACAGGTACACATTATCTGCCTCATCGTGACATGTCTGTGTATCTGTGTTCCTCTGTGACTCTGGGTACGTGATTATGTTCAAAGGTCAAAGTGTATGTAGGCATATGTGTCTTCTTTTTTTTGAGATGGAGTCTCTGTCTCCCAGGCTGGAGTACAGAGACGCGATACTGCCTCACTGTAACCTTCACCTCCCGGATTCAAGCAATTCCCCTGCCTTGGCCTCCCAAGTAGTTGGAATTACAGACGCCCACCACCCCGCCAGGCTAATTTTTGTATTTTTTAGTAGATATGGGGTTTTGCAATGTAGGCCAGGCTGGTCTCAAACTCCTGACCTCAAGTGGTTGGCCTACCTCAGCCTCACAAAGTGCTGGGGCTACAGGCATGAATGAGCCGCCACATCCAGCCCTCCTTGTGTTTCTATGTGCGTTGCGGGAGCAGAGTTAGGGTGGGTATGTGTGGGAAGGGCTTGGTTTGCACGCATTATTTTGACTCTGAATCTCTCTCTCTAGATGCGCCTCCTCCGGATCTCTGGGTGACCAGCGTGGGTCCGTGTGTTTGTGGATCTGTATGTGTACTTAGAGCTACATGTACTCTGTATCTACATTCTTGTCCAGTCTACTTCCATGTATATCTCTCTCTGAATCTGTCTCTATCCCTGTAGCGTGTTTGCCTCTCTCATTCTTTCTTTGGGAACACACATCTGCCTCTCCACATGCATGGGGTATCTCTACCCTTCCTATGTCTCTCTCTGCAGATCTCTGTATGCGTGCCTGTCTCTATGTCCCTTTTGGTATTTCTGATTCTATCTCCCTCTTTGCATGCCTCTTTCATGTAAATTTGTCTTTTCATTCCCCACCAACCCTGCCATCTGGCTTCCCAGTTCATTCTCCAGGTGTCTATACCGGTATGTGTACCTGTAACTTCTCCATGTCCAGCTCTCTCTCCAATGTCTTTCTCTCGTGGCTTCACACTTCACTTTCTCTCTCTGATGATCTATATCTCTGCCTCTCTCACTTTCTCTACTCCATTCTCAACATCCCTCCCTCAGGAACCTGTGTTCCAGAAAGGCCCAGGTTTGATCCTCAGCTCTACCTTGTCTCACATAGGGCTGGGCTCCACAAGTCCTTCTCTGGGCCTCACAAAGTATTCTCATCTCTAAAAGTTAGATGGTCAGCCCTCCCTTCCATGGCTCTGATAAGATGAGATGGTGACAACTCCAAGCCTGGTACCCTGCATTTGCTCCATGGTTCTAATACTCAATATGTAGTGATGCCCACCAATCCAATTTACCCTTCCTGAACCACTCCTCTCTTCCCCCAAAAGACAACGAAACTCCCAGGATCCTTTCCCCCAATGAAGTGACCCCCTAAGAAAGAAGCCTGGGCCCCATGACCACCCAGCAGGTCTTACCCACAACGCCCACACGAATGTGGGTGCGCACTTCACCAAGGCGGCAATAGTTCCCCAGAATCCTCATGAGGTTTTCAGCTCCAAAGCAGGCTTTGCTTTTCAACATTGACTCAGAGGCCTGATTTACTGGTACACTGCAACGATTCTGGAAAACAGATGAATATTACAGAAGAGACAACAGGTGGCAGATGAGGTCTGACCCCAGATTTCCAACTTTCAGGGCCTCCCTATGATCACTGAGCTCCTCAGCCTGAAACAGAAGGCTTCTCACACACATCCTGAACACGTGTCACTTCCCCATTCCCCTCCACTTTGTGTATCCAGGCTTCTCTGCCCCTGCCTCTGGCTGGACACAGGTCCCTTGCCTCCCTTGGCAATGGCAGGATGGCATCCTGGCTCTAGATAGGCCAGGTCTGAGTTCCAGGTCTACTTCTCACAGGCCTATTCTCAGCAAAGCCGGCTTCTTTTCTCCAGGCCTCAGTGACCTGTGTGTACAACAGGGATGCCCACCCTCCCTGCCTGCGCAGGGGTAAGAGGGTGTCTGGCCCACAGCCTACTCTCCCTAAATTCCTCACACAGGACAAAGCCATCCAAACCTTTACTCCTAATGCCACCTCTTTACTCCTGATGCCACCTCCTCTGCCCAGAATTCCCTCCTTCATCTTCCATTATTTTTTTTCTTTGAAACAGAGTCTCACTCTGTCACCCAGGCAGCAGTCCAGTGGCATAATCTCGGCTCACTGCAACTTCCGCCTCCCAGGATCAAGTGACTCTCATGTCACAACCTCCCAAGTAGCTGGGACTACAGGCATGCACCACCACACCTGGCTAATTTTTGTGTTTTTAGTAGAGACAGGGTTTCACCATTTTGGCCAGGCTGGTCTCAAACTCCTGGCATCAAGCAATCTGCCAACCTTGGCCTCCCAAAGTGCTGGGATTATAGGCATGAGCCACTATGCCTGGCCACAGCATTGTTCCTAGTATCACAAAATTGGAATTAGCCTAAATATCCATCAGTAAGAAAACAGGTTAAAAAGCTACATCTGGACCAGGCACCGCGGCTCATGCCTGTAACCCCAGCACTTTGGGAGGCCAAGGCAGGTGGGTCACGAGGTCAAGAGATCGAGACCATCCTGGTCAACATGGTGAAACCCCGTCTCTACTAAAAATACAAAAATTAGCTGGGCATGGTGGCACGTGCCTGTAGTCCCAGCTACTCAGGAGGCTGAGGCAGGAGAATTGCTTGAACCCAGGAGGCGGAGGTTGCGGTAAACCGAGATCATGCCATTACACTCCAGCCTGGGTAACAACAGCGAAACTCCGTCTCAAAAAAAAAAAAAAAAAAAAAAAGCTATATCCTTAAAGTGGAATAAAAACAAAATACAGCTATCAGAAAAGGCCGCTTCTGGCTGGGTGCGGTGGCTCACGCCTGTAATCCAGCACTTTGGGAGGCCAATGTGGGTGGATCACCTGAGGTCAGGAGTTCAAGACCAGCCTGGCCAACATGGTGAAACCACACCTCTACTAAAAATACAAAAATTAGCTGGGTGTGGTAGCATGCGCCTGTAATTCCAGACACTCAGGAGGCTGAAGCAGGAGAATCGCCTGAACCCAGGAGGCGGAAGTTCCAGTGAGCCAAGACTGCAGTAGTGCACTCCAGCCTGGGCAATAGATCTGAGACTGAATCTCAAAAAAACACAGAAAAGGTAGCTTCTATTTTTGCCATCAAAAAGGCCAAGAAGCCAGATGCAGTAGCTGACTCCTGTAATCCCAGCACTTTGAGAGGCTGAAGCAGGTGGATCACTTGAGGTCAGGAGTTTGAGACCAGCCTGGTCAACATGGTGAAACCCCGTCTCTACTTAAAAAAAAAAACCGGCCAGACGTGGTGGCGCATTCCTGTCATCTCAGCTACTCGGGAGGCTGAGGCAGGATAATTGCTTGAACCCAGGAGACGGAAGTGTCAGTCAGCGGAGATCGCGCCACCACACTCCAGCCTGGGCAACAAGAACAAAACTCGGTCTCAAGAAAAAAGAAATGGCAAGAATTATAAATAAGGTATCATGTTTCTGAAAGATTTAAAAAGTTTAATACTATCAAATGTTGCCAAGGGTATAGGAAAAGAGGCCCTCTCACACATTCATCTACTCCAGTGGTGGGAATATAAATTGCTACAGCCATCATGGAGGGCAATATCAGGGTCTAGGAAAATGTAAAATGCAGAAAAGCCATGACCCAGCCACTCCCTGTCTCTACCTCACCTACACACACACTTGCCCACATGCCAAGGAGACATGTGAAAGGGTGTTTGTGGAAGCCCAGGTTGTAACAATAAGAAACTGGAAACTAATTGTATTCAGCAACAAAAAAGCACATCTCTATAGAAAGATGTCCAAGAGAAAAAAATAACACATAGTATTATGTGTTTTTGACATATTATCATACACATAGACTTCCAAACAATATTCCCTCTTTATATATATATACTTGTATGTATATCTGAAGCACAGAATAACATTTAGAGGAAAGCCAAGTACAGTGGCTTATGCCTGTAATCTCTGCACTTTGGAAAGCTGAGGTGGAAGAGTTGCTTGAGGCCAGGAGCTCGAGACCAGCCTGGGCAACAAAGCAAGACCCCATTTCGGTCAAGAGTGGTGGCTCATGCCTGTAATCCTAGCACTTTGGGAGGCCTAGGCGGGCAGATCATCTGAGGTCTGGAGTTGAAGACCAAACTTGCCAACATGGTGAAACCCCGTCTCTACTAAAATACAAAAAAAATTAGCCGGGCATGGTGGCACATGCCTGTAATCCCAGCTACTTGGGAGGTTGAGACAGGAGAATCATTTGAACCCATGAGGCGGAGGTTGTGGTGAGCCGAGAATGCACCATTGCACTCCAGCCTGGGCGACAAGAGTGAAACTCCATCTCAAAAAAGAAAAAAACAAAAAAAGAAGTCACTGGCCAGGTGTGGTGGCTCACACCTGTAATCCCAGCACTTTGAGAGCCCAGGGTGGGCAGATCACCTGAGGTCAGGAGTTCAAGACCAGCCTGGTCAATATGGAGAAACCCCGTCTTTACTAAAAATACAAAAATTAGCCGGGTGTGGTGGCATGTGCCTGTAATCCCAGCTACTCAGGAGGCTGAAGCAGGAGAATCATTTGAACCCAGGAGGTGGAGGTCACAGTGAGCCAAGATTACACCACTGCACTCCAGCCTAGGCAACAAGAGCAAAACTTCATCTCAAAAAAAGAGAAAAAAAGTCACTCGGTGGAGCAGAAGGCTCAAAGTTGAAGGCCCAGTTCAATTACTAAAGGGCTGGAGGTCCCAGACCAAGTCACGAACCCCCAACTCTGGCCCTAAGCTCCCCTGAAAGAGGCTAGTTGACGCTAGCCCCAGGCTTACCAGGTTTTTGACCTGATGCTGGGTACTGGCTTTGAAAGCCACGGTTGGCAACTCATTCCGAAGGTAATCCAGCCATTTCTCCACAACCTCCTTGGGGACCAGGTCTAGGATAAATATAGGAACAGATGGGGCTGGTAAGCAGAACAACACGTTCCCTCCAAAGACACCTCCACCAACACCCAAAGCCAGGTCCACCTACCATCAACAGGTCTCTACACTGGCCCTGTCAGTCCTACGCAGTCCTCAGGATGGAGATAGAAAGCAGTCTGGTCTATGAGATGTCCTAGCCCTCCCTGAGCGGGCCTCTGTTCCCTCAGGGCAAATGGACAAACTAGCTGTCTGGTCCCAAATGTACTCTTTGCAAAACAGCGCCTGGAGCATCAGAGGCCTCCCAAATGCTGTGTTTCCCATCCCCTCTCTGGATCATTCTAGGTTAGGCCGAATGTCAAAGATCACCGTAACAAGAATGGCTATCATGTGTGAAGTAATGACCATGTACCAAGCATTTAATCATTAATTCTCACAACAAATCTGTGAAGTTGGGATAGTCGTGGCCCATTTTACAGCTGGAGAAACAGGAGCTCTTGGAGCTCATGACTTATCCAGTATCTCAGAGAAAAGAATCAGGACAGGTGGGAAGCTGAGCCCCAGACCTGAGTGACTCCTAAGCCCATGTGCTCCTCTGCCCCAGTCTTTGGGTTCCAGCTTGAGCAAAAGGAACTTTCCAGGGTTGTCCAGTCACAGAAAAGGCTCAAAATAGCAAGAACAGGGGACTGAAAGGCAGACAGGCTTGGACTCCGTACCTAACTTGTACCATACTCTGTGATACAGGCTTTGAAAATTGGAACTAAAATTTCTACTTTGCATGACTATTATGAGTACTATTGAATGCTGGGTTCAGGGTCTGGTCCAAGCTAAACTTTCAAGATGGCCTGGCCCCTTCCCTGTCACACTCAATCCTGCCTAACACCCACCAATCTTGTTCAAGACCAGGACCAGCTTCTTGTTGCCTTGGGCTTGCAAGACAGCCTCCTCCATTTGGAAGCAGCGGCAGCCTAATGGGTCTCTGGCATCCAGGACTTCCAGAATCACATCAGAGTATTCCACCACCTACAGGGCAGAGGACCAGGGGATGAGGGCAGGGAAAGAATAGGGTAGCAGTGATACAGGCCGGTGAAACAGAAAGTCTCCATCTCTGTCAGGAAAAACCAGAAATGGAGAGGCAATAGGGCTGGACTAGAGCCCTCCCCGAAACTCTGAAGAAACGGAATGCTGTACCTTACGGAACTCCTTGTAATAAGCCTTCCTCGTGGCCTCGTCATCCAGCTGAGGAAACATATTTAATTCCTGCAAAACTTCCTCCTAAAGGAGAAAAAAGAGAATGGTCCAGGGGCAGAGTGGGGGAGAGAGAGAGAGATAAGAGAAGCAGAGCTTTGGAAACTACAGGAGGTTAAAAAACCATGTGAGTCTCAGCCCACCAAAAAGTAGCTTTGACCAACCAATAGAGCTGGGAACTGGAAGAAAATGAACAGATCCCCCATGGCTCTTGTGTGTGCCTATGTGTATGTGTGTGCTCGAGCACCAGCTGGAGACCTGAATGTGCACAGGGGTGTGAGGGGGGAGGGAGGTGTGAAAAACAACAATCTATGAGGGACATAGGATGGGGGAGGCAAGACACACACTGCATGTCAGGAAGGGAAGTGTGAGTTGGCAAGCGTGTGTTGTGTGTGTGAGACAAGAACATCTGCCAAAAAGCAGCAAGAAGCCCTAGAAGGAAGACGACATCCCCTCACATGTGCTCCTCTCTGTCTCTCAATCCTGCCCTCATATTCTCACTCCCTCTCCCCCAACCCCATCCCCTGGACACACCTACCTCTCCCAGCCCCCAGCCCTACCACCAGCCCCAGTCTTTAGGCTCAACCTTGGGAGACAGGAGCTCTCCAGAGGTATCCAGTCACAGGTAAGGCTCAAAATGGCCCTTTATCTCTCTCTATCCCTCCCTCCCTCCCTTCATCCATCCCCAAGGTTTTCCGTCCTCTCTGCACTGATTCCCTTCATCCCCCTCCAACGACTTCATACCCTTCCTTCTTCCCTTTCGCAGAAAAAAGGCAGAAGATGCTTTTGAGCAAGCCCACCCAGGAGCCAGCGCTGCACTCTTACCTTATGCTCAAACTCCTCCTGGCGTCTCAGGACGTCCTGACAATAGATCTCCACGGTCCTGCGTTTTTGTCTTTCTTGCTCCCGGGCAACTTGCTGCATCTCCCTCATCTCCTCAACCTAACAAGGGAACACACACTGGGACTGGAGCTGACTGGGTCTGCACTAAGGGAGGGATGGGTGACAGAGGAAATGGCGCAACACGGCAGAGGTGGGAGGAGCAGGGTCCAGGGAGAGGGAAGATATGATAGCAGGAGATGATGGTTTGAGAAGAAGAAAAGGACATGAAGGGAAGAAAAGAGTAGCAGAGAAAAATAAAAACAGGGTATATAAAGTAGAGAGAGAAGGTATCCTAGGCAGGCAGAACCACTTAATACCAGAGACGGAGAGAGATCAAGGTCCTGGGATGCTCCATTATTTTTTTTTTTTTTAGACTGAGTTTTGCTCTTGTTGCCCAGGCTGGAGTGCAATGGTGCCATCTCGGCTCACCACAACCTCCGCCTCCCAGGTTCAAGTCATTCTCCTGCCTCAGCCTCCCAAGTAGCTGGGATTATAGGCATGCGCCACCACACCCGGCTAATTTTGTATTTTTAGTAGAGATGAGGTTTCTCCATGTTGGTCAAGCTGGTCTTGAACTCCCAACCTCAAGTGATCCACCTGACTCAGCATCCCAAAGTGCTGGGATTACAGGCATCAGCCACTGTACCCGGCTGATGCTCCATCATTTAAAGATAAGGAAGAAGGCTGGGCACAGTAGCTCAAACCTGTAATCTCAGCACACTGAGAGGCCAAGGTGGGCAGATCACCTGAGGTCAGGGGTTCGAGACCAGCCTGACCAAAATGATGAAACCCCCGTCTCCACTAAAAATACAAAAATTAGCCGGGCGTGGTGGCGGGCGCCTGTAATCCCAGCTACTCAGGAGGCTGAGGCAGGAGAATCGCTTGAACCCAGAAGGCAGAGGTTGCAGTGAGCCAAGATCGCACCATTGCACTCCAGCCTGGGCAACAGAGCAAGACTCCATCTCAAAAGATATATACATACAAAATTAGACGGGCATGGTGGTGAGCGCCTATAGTCCCAGCTACTCAGGAGGCTGAGGCAGGAGAATTGCTCGAACCCGGGAGGTGGAGGTTGCAGTGAGCCGAGATCACACCATTGCACTCTAGCCGGGGCAACAAGAGCAAAACTCCATCTCAAAAAATAAAAATAAAAAGGGTTGGGCGCAGTGGCTCACGCCTATAATCCCAGCACTTTGGGAGGCTGAGGCGGGTGGATCACAAGGTCAAGAGATCAAGATCATCCTGGTCAACATTGTGAAACTCCGTCTCTACTAAAAATACAAAAATTAGCTAGGCATGGTGGCACACGCCTGTAGTCCCAGCTACTCCGGAGGTTGAGTCAGGAGAATTGCTTGAACCCAGGAGGTAGAGGTTGTGGTGAGCTGAGATCACACCATTGTACTCCAGCCTGGGTAACAAGAGCGAAACTCCATCTCAAAAAAACAAAAAATAAAAAGAGCCTGGGCGCGGTGGCTCACGCCTGTAATCCAAGTACTTTGGGAGGCCGAGGTGGGTGGATCACCTGAGGCCAGGAGTTCAAGACCAGCCTGGCCATCATGGTGATAACCCATCTTTAAAAAAAAAGAGAGAGAAAAAAGAAAAAGGATAAGGAAGAAGAAAAAGTAGCAAAAGAGACTGCCAATGGCTAATCAAAGAGGAAGACATCCAGGAGATTGAGATGACAAGAAAGTCCAGATGCTTTAGGGAAAGCGTGGCCACAAATGCTGAGCATTCGATAAGATGAGAGAAGAACACTACCCATGAATGTGATGTCAGGGAAGGCGCTGATGAGGCCAGTGGTAGTGTCAGCGGAGCAGTAGAAGCACAAGCCAGACAGCAATGGACTGGGTGGTGAGCAAATGGAGACATAAATCCAGTATCATGGTAACCTCCCTCTCTCCTAGCTTCGACCAGTAGCCTCAACAACCCTAACAACTCTTGCCTTTGCCCATCCATTCAAGACTTCTGTGGATCTGGCATTCAAGGCAGGACCTCTCTCTCCCCACCAAGGCAAAAAGCTTACCCTCTTCTTCTTCAATTCAGCCTCTCGATTGGCATGACCATTGCAGTGAACCAAATGAGGTGCAGAGGGCACTTTGGGGGCTGCTTTCTTCCCATTTTGCTTTGCAGCCTGGCCACCACATAAGAAAAAAAAACAGAGGTAATTAACCCATGGAAATCACCTCAAAATGGCCGCAAGAGGCCCTAGAAGGAATTCAGCATCCCCTCATAAATGCTCCTTCTACCTCTCAATCCTCTCATTGTCTCACTCACAAGGTGAACAGCAGGAGTTAAAGCTTCTCAGAGAAGGATAGTTGTGGGGACAAAGAAAGGAGAGAGGTAGGCAAAAAGGGCTCCATCCCCAAAGATCTGCCCATCTGGCTGGTTAGAGCGCCTGTCTACCACAGCCGGGCAGGGACTGATGGGAGACCTCTCAGAGGGCAAGGGCAGCTGGGAAGGTTTCCCAAGGCCCAGGGAAAACCTTTCTAAATAGCTCTCAAAGTGCGGTCCTCAGACCAGCAGTAGCAGCAGCACCTGGGAACTTGCTAGAAATACAAATAACCAGATGCCATGCCAGACCTACTGAATCAGAAACCCTGAGGTGGGGCCCAGCAAGCGATGTTTTCACTCATCCTCCAGATGATGCTAGAGGGCTGGTTAAAGTTTGAGTTTCCCCCACCCTAAACTGTGAGAACCCAAGCCTTCTCTGGCTTATACCTTCTCATTGCTTTTTCCCAAGCCTTAGTTACCCACACCTTTCCCAGCAGGACCAGGAGACCCAGGAGCTGGGGTCAAAGATGATATTTTTGCCTCCCGCTTCTCCATTAGAAACAGGGACTTGAGAATCAGACAGTCCCAAATCCCAGTTGCATTACTTTCTCACTAACAATTTCCTCAGCTAAAACATGGGGATAATGATAAAGCCTACCAAGGTAAATCAAGCACAAAGCAGCATATGGCTTGGGAAAAATGCTGCTGATTCTATGCTGCGGCCAGATCCACTGACACAAATGTGGCACTCTGTCCACAGTCACCCAATACCTACTGGGTTTAGCGGGCCTCTCCCAGGACAAGCAACCTGTTCCTGATTTATCCTCAACAAAAGGTGGCCGGGCGTGGTGGCTCACGCCTGTAATCCAAGCACTTTGGAGGCCAAGGCGGGCAGATCACCTGAGGTCAGGAGTTCAAGACCAGCCTGACCAACATGGTGAAACCCCGTCTTTAAAAAAATAATAATTAAAACAAAACAAAAACAAAAACAAAAGGCATATGTTACTGAGGGTAGGGCCAACTTACCTTCCTGTAGCCCCTGGAGCCTTCACCTGGCTTTTTATTTTCTACAAAAGAAAGAAAGAAAAGAGCAATCATTCACCTACTCAATATTTGTTGACACCTTAATCAAGGCCAGGCCACATTGGGAACCTAGCTAGGAAGCACCAGATACCATGTCTATCTAGATCGAGCACAAGACAGAGATGCAGATGGCAGCAATATCAGAGGAAGTACTGAATATAATGTGTGCAACACTATTTCATTGCAAACTCAAATAATTCTGAGATGAATTCTATAAAGAAAGTAACCTGAATGTATGCTTGTGACACCTCCCTCCCCCAGGACTTCCTGCTGGGGGCAACTCAAGAATTTCAATGCCAGCTGAGGTGAGGGAGCTGGCAGCATGAGAAGGTAATCTGAGGAGTCCCAGCCCACTAAGCCTGGGCAGATGCCATCAGTATGTGGGGAAAGAACTATCCCTTCCTGCTGACGCTGCTCAGGCCATTGCCTCCAAAGGGACTTGACCTACTCAGCCAAAATGCTACGGCCTCCCTCAGATACCAAAAGGAGAGACCTGCCACTTCTCCAGTCATGGAGTCCAGGATTTAGGAGGCCTCTCCCCTTCTTCAATAAGAAGTCCCATCTCTCATCCCTTTCACAGTTGCCCTATTGAAAAGAATGGTTCTCTTTAATTCTTACCACCTTCACAGGGCTCAAGGAATTCCTAGGGAGAGAGGTTCTAGAAGATCAGGATAAATACAAACAAATATATTACATGAGTAGCTCAAGATTACCACACAGAGAACAGGCTCCACAATCACATCAGTTGGCTCCCACTGCAGAGTTAATGTAGGAAACAGAACTTAAATTCTACTACAAATTCTTTTTTTTCCAAGACTGAGTCTTGCTGTATTGCCCAGGTTGGAGTGCAGTGGTGTGATCTGGGCTCACTGCAACCTCTGCCTCCTGGGTTCAAGCGACTCTCCTGAGTAGCCGGGATTATAGGTGCCTGTCACCACACCCAGCTAATTTTTCTATTTTTAGTAGAGACAGAGTTTCACCATGTTGGACAGGCTGGTCTCGGGCTACTACAAATTCTATTTTTTTTTTTTTGAGACAGAGTTTCACTCTTGTTGCCCAGGCTGGAGTGCAACGGCACAATCTTGGCTCACTGCAACCTCCACCTCCTGTGTTAAAAGCAAGTCTCCTGACTCAGCCTCCTGAGTAGCTGGGGTTACAGGCATGCACCACCACGCCCAGCTAATTTTTTTGTATTTTTAGTAGACGGGGGGTTTCTCCATTTTGGTCACGCTGGTCTCGAACTCCAGACCTCAGGTGATCCGCCCACCTAAGCCCCCAAATGGCTGGAATTACAGGCGTGAGCCACCACGCCTGGCCTGCAAATTCTTAAGGAGAATCAAGAAGATACTTTAGCTGGGCACGGTGGCTCAAGCCTGTAATCCCAGCACTTTGGGAGGCCGAGGCGGGTGGATCACGAGGTCAAGAGATCGAGACCATCCTGGTCAACATGGTGAAACCCCGTCTCTACTAAAAATACAAAAAATTAGCTGGGCATGGTGGCGCATGCCTATAATCCCAGCTACTCAGGAGGCTGAGGCAGGAGAATTGCCTGAACCCAGGAGGCGGAGGTTGCGGTGAGCCGAGATCGCCCCATTGCACTCCAGCCTGGGTAACAAGAACGAAACTCTATCTCAAAAAAAAAAAAAAAAAGAAGATACTTTAAAGGAACTGTGTAAGAAAAAAAGATTTCCCTAAACTTGATATTGAATAAAAATTCAAAAGCCAGGTGCAGTGCCACATGCCTGTCATCCCAGCTACATGGAAGGTTAAGGTAGGAGAGAGGATCCCTTGAGCCCAGGAGTTCTAATCCAGCCTGGGCAACAAAGCAAGATCCCATCTCTTAAAGAAATACATAAACACGGACTGCTCTAACAGTCAAAACTTAAGCTGGGCACAGTGCCACCTGCCTGTAGCTAGCTAAAAGGCTGAGGCAAGAGGATCACTTGACCCTAGGAGTTTGAGAACAGCCTAGGCAACATAGTGAAACTTTGTCTCTTAAAAAAATTCAATAGAAGTACTGAAAAACAAAAAAAAAAGCATCATTAACAACCAAATTAATAAGCTAGAAGACCAAAGGAGGGAGCTTACTTAGAGCAAAAATTCAAAGAAATGGCAATGATGAGCAAAAATATAAAAAATATAAAAAATGGAGAATACAGCCAAGACAGCTAAAATCTAAACAACAGGAGTTTCTAAGAGAGAAAATGGTACAAGTGGAAAAGCAATAATTTTCTGAAATAACAGATGAAAGTTCCTTAAGTTGAACATAAGCTTGAGGTTTCAGATTGGAAAGACACAGGGAGCAGCAAGATTAACAACCAAGGCCAGGAGCTACGGCTCACCCTGTCACCCCAGCATTTTGGGATGCTGAGGTGGGAGGATCGCTTGACGCCAGGAGTTTGAGACTAATCCAGGCAACATAGTGAGACCTCATCTCTACAAAAAAATTTTTTTAATTAACCAGGTGTGGTGGTCCACACCTGTAGTTCTAGCTTCTCAGGAAGCTGAGGCAGGAAGACTGGTTGATCCCAGGAGTTCAAAGTTATAGTGAGCTATGATGGTACCACTGCACTCCAGCCTGGACAACAGAGACTCTGTCTCAAAAAACAAAACAAAACAACAAAAAAAAAAGATTAACAACCAAAAGAATACCCTAGACATATCCTGATGAAATTTCTAAACTCCAAAGATAAAAAGATAAAATTCTAACCAATAGGCCACTCTTACTATATGAAGTTAAGAAAAAGACATTTTCGGCCGGGCACAGTGGTTCAAGCCTGTAATCCCAGCACTTTGGGAGGCTGAGGCGGGAGGATCACGAGGTCAAGAGATCGAGACCATCCTGACCAACATGGTGAAACCCCATCTCTATTAAAAATACAAAATAATTAGCTGGGCGTGGTGGCATGCGCCTGTAGTCCCAGCTACTTGGGAGGCTAAGGCAGGAGAATTGCTTGAACCCGGGAGGCAGAGGTTGCAGTGAACCGAGATCACACCACTATACTCCAGCCTGGTGCCTGGTGATAGAGTGAGACTCTGTCTCAAAAAAAAAAAATTTTTTTTAAATAAATAAATAAGAAAAAGACATTTGCAGGTGAGCAAAGATTGCCACCTGCGTTTCCTTTTATTTTGAGACACAGTCTCGCTCTGTTACCCAGGTTGGAGTGCAGTGGTACAATCTCAGCTCACTACAACCTCCGCCTCCTGAGTTCAAGGAAATCTCCTGCCTCAGCCTCCAGAGTAGCTGGGATTACAAATGCACAACACCATTCCCAGCTCATTTTTGTATTCTTAGTAGAGACGGGGTTTCACCATGTTGGCCAGACGTCTCAAACTCCTGACCTCAAGTCACTGGCTTGCCTCAGCCTCCCAAAGTGTTGGGATTACAGGCATGAGCCACCACACCCGGCCCTGTGTTTCCTTTGGGATAAAACTACTGGCAAAATAAAAATTAAATCAGAACAAAGATCCCAAGCTAAAGAAAACTAACAGTGGTGGGCAGGAAATCTATTAAAACTTATCACTGAGGCCAGGAGCGATGGCTCACAGCTGTAATCCCAGCACTATGGAAGGCTGAGGCGGGTGGATCACTTGAGGTCATAAGTTCGAGTCCAGCCTGGACAACATGGCAAAACCCCATCTCTATTAAAAATACAAAAATTAGCCAGGTGTGGTGGTGCATGACTGTAATCCCAGCTACTCAGGAGGCTGAGGCAGGAAAATCACTTGAACCTGGGAGGTAGAGGCTGCAGTGAGCCGAGATGGCATCACTGCACTCCAGTCTGGGTGACACAGTAAGACTCCATCTCAAAAAAAAAAAAAAAAAAAAAAGAGGTCAAGTGGTACAGTGGCTCACGCCTGTAATGCCAGCAGTTTGGGAGGCTGAGGCAGGCAGATAACAAAGTCAAGAGATCGAGACCATCTTGGTCAACATGGTGAAACCCCGTCTCTACTAAAAATACAAAAAATTAGCTGGGCATGGGTGGCACATGCCTGTAGTCCCAGCTACTCAGAAGGCTGAGGCAGGAGAATCGCTTGAACCTGGGTGGTGGAGGTTGCAGTGAGCCGAGATGGTGCCACTGCACTCCAGCCTGGCAGCAGAGCAAGACTCCATCTCATAAAGAAAAAAAAAAATCTTTTACACAAAAGCACCTCTAGGCAACCCTGCCCTAGGAAGGGTGGCTTACCTGGAAGGCTGGCACTGCTGTATGAGCAGTGTTTCCTAGCATGCAGGGCAGCCTCAAGAGCTGCATACGGCAGTAAAAAAAAAAAAATCACTGAATCTAAAAATGAAAGATGTCATGTGGCTAAGAACTGGAAGATATATTAAGAAAGGATTCTAAGGGCCGGTCGTGGCAGCTATGCCTATAATCCCAGCACTTTGGGAGGCCAAGGCAGATGCATCGTTTAAGCTCAGTAGTTTAAAATCAGTCTGGGCAGCATGGTGAAACCCTGTCTCTACAAGAAAATGGGAAAATCAGCTGGGGACCAGGCGCAGTGGCTCACACCTGTAATCTCAACACTTTGGGAGACTGAGGCAGATGGGTCACTTGAGGTTGGCAGTTCAAGGCCAGCCTGGCCAACATGGTGAAACCCCATCTCTACGAAAAATACAAAAATTAGCCGGCGTGTTGGCATGCACCTGTAATCTCAGCTACTCAGGAGGCTGAGGCAGAAGAATTGCTTGAACCTGGGAGGTGGAGGTTGCGGTGAGCCAAGATCACACCACTGCACTCCAGCCTGGGAGACAGAGTGAGACTCCGTCACAAAAGAAAAAAAAATAGCCAGGTGTGATGGCTCATGCCTGTTGTCCCAGCTACTCAGGAGGCTGAGGCAGTAAGATCACTTTAACCCAGGAGGCAGAGGTTGCAGTGAGCCGTGATCACAGTGCTGCACTCCAGCCTGGGCAACAGAGTGAGACCCTGTCTCAAATAAACAATGAAGAAAGGATTCATAAAATCCAAGAAGCGTATCATAAGGAAATAGCTCAGAACTGAAATACCAAATTATTTCAACATAATCCAGGAATCAAGTAATGGGGGTTGGAAAAGCAAAAGCATGAAAGCATGCTAAGGGTTTCATATTGAAAGGGCAGGTTACAAAACTGTCATTATTTAACTTTGGTAAAGTGATAGAGAAATACAGAATTAATTATGTTTGATATAAATATGAATGCAATTACTAACATAACTTTAATTACTGATGGAGGATTGTTTAAAAACTTCATCAGGTTAGCAAAACATAAATAAATAAGGGAATAAGAGGAAACAAAATAAATAACAAATACAAAATAAGATGGTAGAAATCTGACCAGACATAAACGTCTCATAACAAATGTGAATGGGTCAAATTTAAATAAACACAGTTTAAATAAACACAAAACAGACCCCCAGTCTCCCTTTCTTCTAAAGCACTCATGTTGCAACAAAAAAAAAAATGTGAGGTTTGGAATGAACCAGGTCTGGGCATTTTACTCAACAATTTCCATCTGCCGAACTTCCCTGGAAACTGAGTGCCTGCAATGGATACAAAAACACAATGAAAGAAAATACATCACTTGGAAAGAAAAAGCATGTACTTCAGAGGGGAAGAGAAGGGAGGAGGGGAAAAGGAGAAGAGGGTGCAGTCAGTCATCCCTCCCAGCACTCAGGAGCCTCTGCTCATAGGTTTTTCAACAACTCCAGAGAGAAAATAGCTACCATTTTATAACCAGCAGACATTCTTACTCTGGCTCAACAACAACCTAGCTATATGACCTTGAAGATTTTTTTTTTGAGATGGGAGTTTCGCTCATTACGCAGGTTGGAGCACAATGGCGCAATCTCGGCTCACGGCAACCTCCGCCTCCTGGGTTCAAGCAATTCTCCTGCCTCAGCTTCCCGAGTAGCTGGGACTACAAGCATGCACCACCATGCCCGGCTAATTTTTGTATTTTTGGTAGAGACGGGGTTTCACCATGTTGACCAGGATGGTCTCGATCTCTTGACCTCATGATCCACCCGCCTCAGCCTCCCAAAGTGCTGGGATTATAGGCGTGAGCCACCGAGCCCGGCCGACCTTGAAGAATTTTTTAAAACCTCTCTGAGCCTCAATGTCCGCATCCACCAGACATCCCCTAAAATCACTAATTCTCACATGAGTACTCAAAAGCAAATCTCTGTATTCATTAATCCCTCTTCTCGAATACCCTCACCCACAGATGTCCCTGTACACCCACTGACTTCATCCCCCTCATCCTTCCTCTGCCCTAGCATCAAACTTCCCACAATATCATCTGAAACTCCCAACCTGGGTGATCAGCACTCCCCTAACAACCTCTCCCTGGGATCACTTCCCCAAGCTCCTGCCTTGAGACTTGGCTCTCCCAAGGACAATGCTTCACTTGCAGGCCTGTCAAAAGGTGGCAGTTGTTTTCTCTGGCAAATGTTTATCCTGGGGTCAGTAGGTAGAGAACATAGTCCTCCAGACTCACCACTGCCAAGCTAAGACTATTTTTGCCTCTCGTTAAAAAGGATTAAAAAAAAAAAGGGCATAGTGACTCATGCCTGTAATCCCAGCACTTTAGGAAGCCAAGGTAGGAGGATTGCTTGAGCTCAGTAGTTCAAGATCAGCCTGGGCAACATAGAAAAACCCTCATCTCTACTGAAAAAAAAAAAAACCTAGTGGGGCATAGTGGCAAATGCCTATAGTCCCAGCTACTCAGAAGGCTGAGGCAGGAGGATAGCTTGGGCCCAAGAGTGGCAAATGCCTATGGTCCCAGCTACTCAGAAGGCTGAAGCAGGAGGATAGCTTGGGCCCAAGAGGTAGAGGCTGTCATCTATGACTTACTTTTCCTCATCTATTGAAGCACCTGGCTCATTGCTTTTCTTTTGACCCAACTCCTGCCACCAACAACCTGGGTAACTTTGGCGATCACTGGACAACCCTTCCAACAATCTAGATTTCCCACTTCCTTGACATCTTCACCTCCAGGGATCTCCACTCAATCACAGCCACTTACCCACCCATTCCTATGGTTACACCTATAGGGGAACCACCTGTAACTGCTTGGACTTCTGAAAGCAGTCTCAGACACCCCTCTCTCCTATCTTCAAGCTCATTTGTCCAACCTCCTAGAGGCTTGAACCTTCTACTCGATTCCTTGTTTGTCAGCCATCCTTCTTCCCTCCCTGTCCAGCTAACATTCCACAGTCTGTTACTACAATTGTGCTCCTGCACAAAGCCACAATTCCTTTGCCCCTCCCATTGCCCTACTATGACATCTTTACCAGTGTTTGGCGACTAACTGACCAGCAGGCAGACAGGCAGGCAGAAAAGTTCCATGGATTATATACTTGTGCCGCCGACACCGATAGTTGTAAACTTTTTAAGTGATAAAACATTCTCCTCTTAAAATAGCCACTCAAAAATTAACAACAGTGGCCCAGCACAGTGGCTCATGCCTGTAATCCCAGGACTTTGGGAGGCAGAAACAGGGGATCCCTTGAGGTCAAGAGTTGGAGACCAGCCTGGCCAACATGATGAAACCCCGTCTCTAATAAAAATACAAAAAAATTAGCTGGGCATGCTGGTACACACATCCTAGTAGTAGTAACCCCAACTACTCATGAGGCTGAGGCAGGAAGATCACTTGAGACCAGGAGGCGGAGGTTGCAGTGAGCCGAGATCATGCCATTGCACTCCAGCCTGGGCAACAGAGCAAGACTCCATCTCAAAAAAATAAAAACTAGGCCGGGTGTGGTGGCTCATACCTATAAACACAGCACTTTGGGAGGCTGACGCGGGCAGATCACTTGGGTCCACAAGTTCAAGACCAGCCTGGCCAACATGGTGAAATCCCATCTCTACTAAAAATACAAAATTAGCCAGGCGTGGTGGTGGGCGTCTGTAATTCCAGCCACAGGAATTACAGGCTAAGGCAGGATAATCTCCTGAACCCAGGAGGCAAAGGTTGCAGTAAGCCAAGATGGCACCACTGCACTCCAGCCTGGGGGACAGAGCAAAACTTCATCTCAATAAAATACTTTTTTTAAGTAAAAAATAAAAATAGTCTGGGAGCAGTGGCTCATGCCTGTAATCCCAGCACTGTGGAAGGCCAAAGCGGGAGGATCACCTGAAGTCAAGAGTTCAAAACCAGGCCAGGCACGGTGGCTCACACCTATAATCCCAGCACTTTGGGAGGCCAAGGCGGTGGATCAAGAGGTCAAGAGATTGAGACCATCCTGGTCAACAAGGTGAAACCCCATCTCTACTAAAAATACAAAAATTAACTGGGCATGGTGGTGCACGCCTGTAGTTCCAGCTACTCAGGAGGCTGAGGCAGGAGAATTGAGGAGGCTCCGCCAGAAGGTGGAGGTTGTGGTGAGCCGAGATGGTACCATTACACTTCAGTCTGGGTAATAACAGCAAAACTCCATCTCAAAAAAAAAAAAAAAAAAGAAGGGCCGGGCGCGGTGGCTCAAGCCTGTAATCCCAGCACTTTGGGAGGCCGAGGCGGGTGGATCACGAGGTCAAGAGATCAAGACCATCTTGGTCAACATGGTGAAACCCCGTCTCTACTAAAAATACAAAAAATTAGCTGGGCATGGTGGCGCGTGCCTGTAATCCCAGCTACTCAGGAGGCTGAGGCAGGAGAATTGCCTGAACCCAGGAGGCAGAGGTTGCGGTGAGCCGAGATCGCGCCATTGCACTCCAGCCTGGGTAACAAGAGCGAAACTCTGTCTCAAAAAAAAAAAAAAAAAAAACAGCCTGGCCAACATGGTGAAACCCTGTCTCTACTAAAAATACAAAAATTAGCCAGGCGTGGTGGTGGTGGGCACCTGTAATCCCAGCTGCTCGAGAAGCTGAGGCTGGAATATCACTTGAACCCAGAAGGTGGAGGTTGCAGTGAGCTGAGATCGCATCACTGCACTCCAGTCTAGGTAACAGAGCAAGACTCTGTTTCAAAACAAAAAAAGAAAAAGTTACTGTGAAATTCTATGAACATTCATTAAAAGCACAGGATTGGTAGGGGTGGTAAAGGAAACTCACTGTGTCTAAGCTTCATCATGACGACCAGCTTGAAAGCAGGTTCAAATCTGCTTGCTCTCTTCCTGTCAGAATGGGAGAAGCAATTTGAAGACAGCGGGGAACCACAATGCCACAAGCCTTCACCTAAGTCCCCTAAAGGTAAAATGTTAAAGCACATTATGAAGAAGCCATAATAATTAGGAAAACTGGGAGAAGCTGGAGCTAGAGCCTCATATGGCTGAGTCCACACAGGGAAGGGAGTCCACACTACCCAAAGGGAGGGATAGGTCTCAACCTCATCCCGGGTGGAGTCAGTGCCTCAACGCATCAGATGGGGCCTTTGGTCCTTATTCCTCCACACCGTAGTGTTAAACCCTAGGTAGGAAACTAGTGCTAAACCCCTTCACACTGAGGGGAAAGGGGCATGCAAGGATGGTCCATTTCTACATGGGCCAATAATAGTGCCTCTTTTCCCAAGTAGGGAATTCTATATCTCATCTACCTAGGAGAGATGGTGGAGAAGGGGGTAAATAGATCCCAGGAGTCTACCCTGGGGAAAGGGGGCCTGAGAACAGGGATTTTTACCTGCGTGTCTATATGGACTGAGATAAGTACAAAATCTTGGAGGAGGGGGTAAAAAATCTGTGCCTGCATTTGCCTGGGGTCTATACCTTGGTGACTTGAGTTGGGGGGATTACCAACTGTCCCTCTACTCGGGTACAGAGAAACTGGGGAAACTCACAAAGTGGCTGTGTGCATCTCTGCTACATGGGAAAAGAACCACAGATCTGTTTATCTCTAGATTGTGGGGATGGGTCCTGGGTCTCTTTACCCTGGAAAGGGCTGTAGGGCAGGATCGATATGCCTGACACCACAACAATGAAGCTTTGAATAAGTGGGTCTGCACCTTACCTTCAGTGAGTTATTCTGCACCCTTCTGTGGGAAGTAGACTGTGACAGCTTTCATCTTTTATGCTGATTGAAGTCAGCAGCACACTAACACTGAAAGAAATAAGGCCTCTGGTTCTCTGCATGGGTGGTGTGTGGAGGGGGCAGGCAATACAGCTATAAATTAATAGATCAGCCCTAATACTTGGGGGCAGGAGGGGGGATCAATGATTCTACCCTGGGTGGTGAGAAACAGATCTGAGCTCCACTACGTTGGACGAAGGGGAGAGACCATATGCACTGCACTGCCAGGTAATGAATGATATCACTGCCTCTCAACATTACAGGGAGGGGGGCATGCATCGCTGCTCCTGTGGGGTATCTCACTTGCTACATTTAGTGATTCTAAATCCTTGGAGGAGGTTGGGGGATGATGTGTGTCTATGTCAAAGGGAGAGGAACACATCTGAGCCCCTCTACCTCCATGGCACCTCAAGGGGCAGACCTGACTGTCTCTTCATGGATTAAGGTCTGTTCCTGCTTGCTTCGAAGCACTTTGGGTGCCTCAAAAAATTACACATTCGGGGGCAGGCATGGTTGCTCACGCTTGCAATCCCAGCACTTTGGGAGGCCAAGGCCGGTGGATCAAGAAGTCAGGAGATCCAGACCATCCTGGCCAACACAGTGAAACCCTGGCTCTACTAAAAATACAAAAAAATTAGCTGGGCGTGGTGGCACACGCCTGTAGTCCCAGCTACTCAGGAAGCTGAGACGGGAGAATTGCTTGAACCTAGGAGGCGGAGACTGCAGTGAGCCGAAATCGCGCCACTACACTACAACCTGGGCAGCAGTGCGAGACTCCCTCTCAAAAAAAAAAAAAAAAATACACATTCGGTAAAACGGGGGCTACGGAGGTAGGGATCAGATCTGATTTTCCGCAACAGGGACTCACTTTAACCTAAGAGGAGGAGGCAATAGGCTTAGTTGTCCACAACTGTATCTGCAACCACTTTGGGGATGCGTGAGTTGGGGAGTGATACTGAGGGCTGTAGGTCTACACGAATGGGGAGGAGCTGCCCTCCACCTGTGTATTAAATGTTTCTGAGCTCCTCTATACTGGTATGGGGACAGATACATCAAAGCCTTGGTCTGTCCAGAGGTCGGAGGTGCCTCGAGGCGGCTGTCTAGAGCCAGGCCAAGGAAGTGCCTTAAACCGGGAGAAGTCTGCACTGCTCAGCTGAGTGGAAAGAGATGTCTCTATACATAAGATTGGGGTGGATGTCCCCTATGCCTTCGGTGAGTCGACTCCTGTGTATACAGGGTTAACGCAGAATGGAGCCTCACTATCTTGAGGACGATCAACGCTTCACCACACAAGTGAGGTTTGTGCCTCTCTACACAGTGTGTCCCGGATTTACACCTTTCTAGATGCGATGCGGCAATGCCCCTCTCCCAGAGAACTCCACCCCGCGAAAAGGCAATTCGGCGCGTCTCCACGTGTGCTGCGATCCCTGCTCCTCTGCTGGGCCCTTGTAGCCTAGAAAGGATCCGGCTGTTTACCTCTCTATTCCAGGCTGGCGGGCATTTGTGGTTTCACCTTCAATACAGGATCCTAACTGCCCAGTCGTCTACGTGAGCGCACACCGTGAGAAAAGAGAGTAGTTTCTTACCTATACTTCCGGCGGGGATGTGAGAAGAAACAGCCACACGACAACTCGGTTGCGCGAGCAAATGCTCAGGCGCAGCTAGGCTCAGACTTCCGGATCCTAGGCCGGCGGCGCCCGACTCCGCCCACTGTGCGTTCTCCTCGGGGGGCGGGCTTCTGACTGACAGCTCGCGCCCGCCGGTCCCTTCCTCGCTACCACGCTGGCCCCGCCTCCTGGCTGCCCCATAGTTAAGGAAACAGCTGAGGAGGTAGAGGGAGGACAGCGAAGTGACAGGAAGAAGCGGCGGGCCGACTACTGCGGCCATATACCCTACTTGCAAGTCAAAATTTTGTCTGCGGGGATCTGTCTGGGGTTAAATATGCGTACTTCCAAACCTCAGTAACCAGGCAGGCACCATGCCCGAATCAAACAAGGGTGGGGGATGATGTCTTTGTCTGCATGGAAGATGGCGTCAGCAGGGTGTAAGAAAATGGCCGCCTGGGTCACATGTCTGGCCGAGTATTCCCCACCTAAAGTGAATGGTTAGCTGTTCCCAACGACTTTCCCGGGTCCTTGGGCCCCAGACACTCCCTGAGCACTCCCAGCTCTTTATGCGTAAGTTCAGATCTATGGCCAGACCCGACCCGAAATGGAGCAGCACAACTAGAAGCCTCTCCCACCCGTTTGCCTTCTTCCCCTCCTACTCCATCCTTCCCTTAATCACGGAGCAGCGCCTGCAGAAGGGAATGAATTTATATCTCTGGACTGGGGCAAGTAAGGGTTTCTGAAACCATCTCAAGGAGCTAGCTGGGAAGTAAGGTCTCCCCTAGAAAACAGTAAATATTAGTCTGAAATGCCTCTTTCCTGATGGTTTCATTCCAGCCCCTCCTCTTCCTCAAACCTAAACTGTGGGGTGGGGCACAGAGTAGGTGGGACTGTGCCTGTGAGGGTGGGTTTCTTTCTCCACTTCAAGCATGGATGGGCTGAAAAGGACTCCCTCTATCCCTTTACCCCTTACATAAACAGGACTCACTACCTCTCTACATCTTTGGAGGGTTTCTAACCTCTCATCCTAGAAACACATGAAATTCCGCTGGACCCCAAACCAGCCCTGACCACCTTCACCTTTACCCCTGCATTGGCAAATTTTTTCTGCTTCCTTAAGACTTAACTCTTGTCACTTCTATGAAACCTGCCCTGACTTTCCCAGATGAGTTAGAAACCCAGAGCACCTTGCCTATGCAGCTAAGCTAGCACTTATCACTTAATATTGTAGTTGTTTATGTGGCTGTGTCTCCACACGAGAGTGAACTCCCTACAGGGGCTATGTATCTTCAAGCCTTCAACAAGACCCAGGACAAGACTGGTAGGAGGCAGTCTTCAACAAATGGTTTTTTGTTTGTTTGTTTTAAAGACAGGGTTTCACCATGTTGGCCAGGCTGGTCTTGAACTCCTGACCTCAGGTGATCCGCCCAACTCGGCCTCCCAAAGTGCTGAGATTACAGGCGTGAGCCACCACGCCCGGCCAACAAATGTTAATTGGGCAAGTTTACAGGCCTGCACCACAAATCAATGGGAAACGGGCAGTTTAGTAGATAGCATTGGGAAATTTGGCTCTCCATGAAAAGAAATATAAAACTGAATCTTTATTCTACCTAAGAGGGTGACCTGTGAATGTGAAAGATAAAACTACGAAGTTAATATACGCAGGAGAATATCTTTGTGACTTGTGACTGGGGAAGGACTTTTTAAACAAAATCCAAAATGCACAAACTATAAGGAAAAAAATACAATGAAATCTTTGATAGAAGTGGAAGCTAGTTATTACGACTTCGGAAAACAATTAGGAAGTATCCAGAATAGCTGAAGATGATCCTGGGACCCAGCAATTCTAGTATTTGAGATGACTGATTAACAAATAGATAGATAAATAGAGATCACCCCTAAACTTTAACTCGTAGAGAAATGTTTACATGTTTGCTCAATGAGCATGTGAAAGAATGTTCATTGCAGAACTGTTTGTAATAGAGGAAAAAAATGTGAACAACCTTAAATTCCACCAACAGGAGAATGAATAAAAAAATTATGGTATTGCCATTGGACAGAATACTATGCAGAATACTATAATGAAAAAGAGTGAATCATGTTGCGTGCATCAACCCAGCTAAATTTCAAAAACACAATACTGAGATAAAATACAAATTGCAGAGGCCAAGTGCAGTGGCTCTGTAATCCCAGCACTTCGGGAGGCAGAGACGGGTAGATCACCTGAGGTCAGGATTTCTCAAAAAAAAAAAAAAAATACAAATTGCAGAAGGATACATAAAATATCAAACCATTTATACAAAGTTTTTAAACAGCGAATAATATTGTTTATAGATTATATAGATATATAAACAATAACTTTTTTGAGACAAGGTCTTGCTCTGTGGCCCAGGCTGCAGTGCAGTGGCTTGACTTTTGCTCGCTGCAGCCTCCACCTCCCTGACTCAAGCCATCCTCCCACCTCAGCCTACCAAGGACCTGGGACTACAGACATATACCACCATGCCTGGCTAATTTTTGTACTTTTTGAAGAGATGGTTTTGCTATGTTGCCCAGACTAATCTCAAACTCCTGAGCTCAAATGATCCAACCATACCTGAGCCTACCAAGGTGCTGGGATTACAGGTGTGAGGCACTGCCCCTAGCCAACAATAATTTTTTTTTTTTTTGAGACGGAGTTTCGCTCTTGTTACCCAGGCTGGAGTGCAATGGCGCGATCTCGGCTCACCGCAACCTCCGCCTCCTGGGTTCAGGCAATTCTCCTGCCTCAGCCTCCTGAGTAGCTGGGATTACAGGCACGCGCCACCATGCCCAGCTAATTTTTTGTATTTTTAGTAGAGACGGGGTTTCACCATGTTGACCAAGATGGTCTTGATCTCTTGACCTCGTGATCCACCCACCTCAGCCTCCCAAAGTGCTGGGATTACAGGCTTGAGCCACCACGAAATAATTTTTAAAGAGAAATACTAAATCCAGAATAATGATTACCTCTGGGGAAGAAAACAAAAGAACGAAATGAGAGAGAGATACACAGGGGACTTCAACTGTTTACATTCTAATAGTTTACATTGTAAGCTAGGTAGTAGGTACGTGGGTTTGTTTTTGTTATATTCTCTATACTTATTTGTATGTCTGAAAGAGTTCTTTTTTTTTTTTTTTTTTTTGGCCAGGAAATATTTTATTGACAACCAGGGACACAGCCGTAAGAGAGGGAAGCACACAGGACTGCAAACTAACACCCAATAGCCAACAAGGGCTCTCTGGGCTAGGAATACTGCATCCTGGGGTCCTCATAGTCTCCCACCAGTAGACATACATTACTGGGCATCCAAGGGAGGGGGCAGTGGCTCTAGTGTCCCAGAGAGTGAGAGGATATATGATGCCTCATTATGAGCGACAGGGTAAGGAAGTAAAATGGAGGATCCATCACTGCCTAAGACCACCTCCTCCTCTCAGAGCCAACATGAGGTGGAGGACTGAACCACCTAAAATCTTGTAATCAGCTGTTGTCTTCTCATCATTCATCTGTTTGCCACTGTAGATGAGCCTCTGCTGTTGTGGGGGGATTCCCTGTTTCTCCTCCACACGCTCCTTGATTCGCTCCACCTTATCTGTAGGTTCAATGTCAATCTTAATCTCCTTTCCGGTCAGCGTCTTCACTTTAGCATCTTCGTTCCAGTTTGGGACTACACACGGATAAATTGCTGCTCCTACCACTCTGGTCGCCACTGCCACTCTCTGGCACTCTGCTTTTGAGGGCCACTTCTCCATTTTTTTTTAAAGACTACAAGAATCTGAAACAAAATGTTAATAATAGTTAACTCTAGATTAGTGTTTCTCTAACTTTGGCCAGCATCAGACTCACTGGGAGGGCTTGTTAGAATACCAATTACAGGGCCTCATGCCCAGAGTTTTGATTCAGTAAATCTGGTTTAGGGCCCAGGATTTGCATTTCTAACAAGTCAAAGTGAGATTATCAGTGAATTTAATTTTCTTCCTTGTGCTTTTCTGTGTTTTCCATGTATTGGATGAATATGTTATTACTTTAGTGAGAGATTGTGTTATTTTTTTAAATCTCTTTCATCTCTACTTCCCACTTTAATTTCCTTATAGGCAGCCATTCTAAGATATTTTATGCATATTTTTGTATATATGCATTCTTTTTATTTTATTTTTAATAGAGATGGGGTTTCACCATGTTGGCCAGGATGGTCTCGACCTCTTGACCTCATGATCCGCCCACCTCGGCCTCTTAAAGTGCTGGGATTACAGGCGTGAGCCACCACGCCCGGCTTTTTTTTTTTTTTTTTTAGGATGGGGTTTCACTACGTTGGTCAGGCTGGTCTTGAACTTCCGACCTCAGGTGATCCGCCCACCTCAGCCTCCCAGAGTGCTGGGATTACAGGTGTGAGCCACTATGCCCGACCTGTATATATGCGTTCTTGCAAAATATGTATTATTGCTTTATGTGTATTTCCTCCTTTTTTTTTTTTTTTTTTTTTTGAAGCAGGGCTTGCTCTGTCACCCAGGCTGGAGTGCAGTGGCATGACCTCCACTCACTGCAAACTCTGCCTCCTGGGCTCAAGGGGTCCTCCCACCTCAGCCTCCCAAGTTGCTGGGACTACAGGCACACGTCACCATGCCCAGCTAATGTTTAAAGATTTTTGTACTGGTCTTGAATTCCTGGGTTCAAGCAGTCTGCTTGCCTCAGCCTCCCAAAGTGATGGGATTATGGTCGTGAGCCACTGCACCTGGCCAAATTTTTATTTTTTATTGTTTCTAAATTCAGAACAGTTGAAAGAATAGTATAATGAAAGCCCATATACACTTATACTTTGCAAAATATTATCCTACATAACCACAATGCCATTATCACACCTAAGAAAATTTAACTATGATTCTGTAATGCCATCACGTATATCCCATTATCAAATATCCTAATTATCCCCAATTATACATATGCTGTGTATATGCTTTCATTTCTTGATCCCAGGATCTAATCAAGGTTTATTTATTACATTTCTTTTTTTGAGACAGAGTCTCGTTCTGTTGCCCAGGCAGGAGTGCAGTGGTGTGATCTTGGCTCAGTGCAACCTCCACCTCCTGGGTTCAAGCAATTCTCCTGCCTCTGCCTCCCGAGTAGCTGGGATTACAAGTGCCTGCCACCGGGCCTGGCCAATCTTTGTATTTTTAGTAGAGACAGGGTTTCTGCATGTTGGCCAGGCTGGTCTCAAACTCCTGACCTCAAGTGATCCATCCACCTTGGCCTCCCAAAGTACAGGGATTACAGGCATGAGCCACCATGCCCGGCATTTATGTATTACGTTGATTGTTATATCCCTTTTAACCTCTTTTAATCTAGAATAATACTCCTATATTTTTTGTGTTTCAAATGACATTTATGTTTTTAAAGATAATCTGAACACTTTGGGGTCTGGAGCGGGTGAATTGCTTGAGTTCAGAAATTTGAGACCAGCCTTCCATTGAGTTTTCAAGAGTTCCATGATAACTCTTCCATTATCATTTGAAGAGTCCAGGCCAATTGTCTGGTAATATGTCCCATATTATGGATTCATTTGTTCTTTCCACAGGATTAGATTCAGAATAAATATTTTCAGCAAGAACAGTACATAGGGGATATCCTTTTTACTTCATATCATATCACCTCAAGAGGCACATGATAGCAGATTGTCTCACTACTGAGCATACTTTGTACTTGTTTTTGTTTTACATAAATATCTCATTCTGGCCAGGCTAGGTGGTTCATGCCTATAATCCCAGCACTGTGGGAGGCCAAAGCAGACAGATTGCTTGAGGCCAGGAGTCAGCCTGGCCAACATGGCAAAACCCTGTCTCTACTAAAAATGCAAAAATTAGCCATGTGTGGTAGTGCACACCTGTAATCCCAGCTAATGGGGAGACTGAGGCATGAGAATCACTTGAACCTGAGAGGCAGAGGTTGCAGTGAGCTGAGATCGCACCAGTACACTCTAACCTGGGCGACAGAGTGAGACTGTCTCAAAAAAAAAAAAAACCTCAGTTTCTTACTGTTTTCATTCAGCCTCATGTTTTTAAGGTCTACCCATATTGCTGTGTATACACGTAATCCATTGCTTTTTTTTTTTTTTTTTTTGAGGTGGAGTCTCACTGTATTGCCCAGGCTGGAGTGCAGTGGCATTATCTGGGCTCACTGCAACTTTGGCCTCCCGGGTTCAAGCCATTCTCCCTCCTCAGCATCCTGAGTAGCTGGGGCTATAGGTGCCTACCACTGTGCCCGGCTAATTTTTGTATTTTTAGTAGAGACAGGGTTTCGCCATATTGGCCAGGCTCGTCTTGAACTACTGGCCTCAGGTGATCCACCCGCCTTGGCATCCCAAAGTGCTGAGATTACAGGCATGAGCCACTGTGCCTGACCTAATCCATTGCTTTTATCTGCTCATGGTAACCATACTGTGCCTTTACTGCATAGATGGCCTCCAGCTCTCGAATACTACTTCAGTGACCATCCTTGTACATGTGCTCTTATTGACCTGCGTGAGGATTTCTTTTGGAACATATATCCAAATGATTACATTCTAAAGTGTGCATATACTTAGTTTGACTAAGAACACCAATACTTCTAGATGGTTCTCTGGGACGGCAGTACCAATTCACACTTTCGCTATGTGTCAAGATTTTTGTATCCCCACATCCTCACCAACACTTGCCATTTTCTAGATTGCTTTTTTTTTTTTTTTTTTGAGAGATGGAGTCTCACTCTTGTTGCCCAGGCTCTTGTCTCCCAGGCTGGAGTGCAATAGCATAATCTCAGCTCACTGCAACCTCTGCCTCCCAGGTTCAAGTGATTCTCCTGCCTCAGCCTCCCAAGTAGCTGGGATTACAGGTGCCCGCCACCACACCCAGCTAATTTTTGTGTTTTTAGTAGAGACGGGGTTTTGCCATGTTGGCCAGGTTGGTCTCAAACTCCTGACGTTGTGATCCACCCACTTCCACCTCCCAAAGTGCTGGGATTACTGGCATGAGCCACTGTGCCCAGCCAAGCTTGCTGATTTTTTCCAGTCTGATAGCTGTAATAGGTTCAAACAGGTGGACTAGGTTTTAGTCCATCTAGATTCCACCCTCATACGTGGTAATGCGTGGGGACATAGTTTTATTGTTTTCCACAGGGTGAGCCAGATTTCCCACCATCAAATACTGAACAATTCCTCCTTTTCCCATTGATTTGCCATGCCACCATTATCATATGTCATTATATACACACACACATACATTTTTGTCTGTCCTTGGGCTAATACCACCTTGGTTTTAGTATTTTGGAATGTATCTAAATACCACATGGAGCATTTCCTCCTCTTTAGTCTTCTTTTTAGGTTGTTTTAGATCTATTGCCACATACATTTTTAAATGAGTCTATCAAGGTCTTCAAGAATCCAACTAGGATTTTGATTGGGATTACACTAAACTTACAGATTAATTTGGAGGAACTGCCATCATTGTAATAATTACTCATTTCATCCAACAATAGGGAATATACTGCAATTTATTCAGTTCATCCTCTTCTGTGTTCTTTATTAGAGTTTAAAGTTTTCTCTTAAGAATTGTATATTTTAAAAAATAAAAATGCGATCGGGTGCTATGGCTCACACCAGTAATCCCAGCACTTTGAGAGGCTGAGGCAGGCAGATCATGAGGTCAGGAGTTCAAGACCAGCCTGGCCAACATAGTGAAACCCTGTCTCTACTAAAAATACAAAAACTAGCCAGGCGTGGTGGTGGGCGTCTATAGTCCCAGCGACTTGGGAGGCTGAGGCAGGAGAATCTCTTGAACCTGGGATGCGGAGGTTGCAGTGAGCCGAGATTGCACCACTGCATTCCAGCCTGGGTGGCACAAGGAGACTCTGTCTTAAGAAAAGTAAAAATGAATTGGTTACCATAGATGTTGCCAAGGCATCAACTCATTCTGCTGATAATTAATCAAAAATGGAAAAAATCTGGCATTATTCTGCCTTTCCACATGAATCATATTTCAGGTTAATCAAATAGATAATTAGGGAAAGAGCTTCTTTATGGAAGACTCACAACTTATAAATGAAAGGGAAATGGAAGTGTTACAATTCAATCTCTAATGAGATAATGGTTTAAGAAAAAATCATCAATGACTGCTGAAGCCATGAGGTGAAAAACATTTGAGGAATTATAACAAAGAAATTAGGCTGATAACATCTGATCCTACTCATCGTACTTATCATTTAAGAGAAAACAAGACATATGTGCCTTCTTATGTTGTGCAATAAGAAGTATACAGCATTATTCATGACGTATACTTTTAAACAAGGAGGAAAAAAGAACAATTTAATCAAGTATTTATGTTTCACTTCATTTACAAGAAATTCAGGGAATATAGGAAGAGAAACATGTTAAATGATACCAGCAGAAACAATAAACCAAAGCAAGAACTTGGGAAATTCTACAGGACAGATGAGCCAGTATGTTCAACAAATAAATGGAAGGAAGAAAAGAACAGGAAAATTACAGATTAAAAGGAAAATAGACCGGGTGCGTTGGCTTACGCCTGTAATCCCAGCACTTGGGATTTACAAGTCAGGCAGATCGCGAGGTCAGGAGTTCAAGACCAGCCTGACCAATATGGCGAAACCCCATCTCTACTAAAAATACAACAATTAGCCAGGTGTGGTGGCACACACCTGTAATCCCAGCTACTCTTGAGGTTGAGGCAAGAGAATTGCTGGAACCTGGGAGGTGGAGGTTGCA